TCCGATAAATACATCGCTTTTTGACGTCTATGGTAAAGATGGTCAACGACAACCAAAAACCTTGTATTAAAAGGAACAGACTTTTTGTCTCGTAGTAAAAAGACCCTAGTTACGGTCCTGCGGTCATCTTACCACTAACAAGATTTGGAATATGGATGCAACTTGACTTACCACAGTTCAGAAGCCAGTAAAAGTAATGACATTGAAAGTAACAAGGCATTTACTTGTCCAATTAATGCAACTGGTGAATATTTACTCCTGTGTATAAATTTCCAAGAAAAAGTATCATGGGCACATTTATAAACGGTTCACCATCCCAATCTGTTAGATTTACTTATCAATCTGGGGCTATTTACCACTGCGTTATAAAAAGATTTTCGTTTATAATATGAGTTTCTTGGAATAAAATTTCAACTGCTTGGTATGTGATTCTTTTTATGTTGGATTTTTTTCGTTTTAGCATTCCATAGTAGTCCAAGTTTCAGAGAATTCGACTTAACCAAACTACTTGGTACGCCTAGTGAAGTTAATATCGATTATTTCGTTTAATCGAACGACTTATTTCGATTAAACGAAATACTTATTTTGTTTAAACGAAATACTTGATTGTATTTCGTTTAAACGAAATAAAAAATGTACGTTTTTTGAATATTTCCCATTATTTTTATGAGAATTGGAATATCAGCCTCAAATGTATCGCACCATTAATTCACGTAATATGTATATTTGTTTGTATATTGTTTGTAATAAATACTGTTTAAACTGAGATAGTACTGTCATTCTTAGAATGTCTTTGCGTTGATAAAATATAAATACGAGCACACATGTCCTTAGAGAGGTCTATTTTCAGCCAAACTTTGTGACTATTTTTAGTTGAAATATCTAGGAGGGAAATGTGTTTTTATCAATGCAAAGACATTCTAAGACTATCATTACTATTTTTAGTCTTATATTCCAAATCTTTGAAAAATATTGAAAATATTTTAATTTGCTCAGACAAATGGACTGAATCTGCTCACCCAGCCACGTTTACTCGACCCACTTCTATTACAAAATGATCATTACCATAGCATAAAAATATACAAATTGTTATAAGAAACAAATTTATTTTGTAAATGGTTTTTGAACAACCACAAGAATCCCTTCAAATTATCTCAAACTAGGAATTTCTTTTGGTATTTCTATAGATGTCTTTTCTATATCATGTTCGATTATTCACATCTGATCATTACCATATAACGTTGCTTAAGGAACATGTTTCTATACATGACAGTGTCTCAAGAAAAGACTACTCGTATAATTTTGTACACACGTGGATTTGAAGGCCCAAATTTCGAATTCTTGTTTTCCCTTTAAGAGAAGTGTTATTACTCAGCATCCTTCCCAGGGGAATTTTATTATTAGTAGGAAGAAAGAAAGCTTATATTTTTCACGCCTAGTTTGAACCACAGAAAGGAGGGTAACATAGTCTTGAATACAATGTAAATAGTCTCCAGAAGAAAGCTATTAGAAAAATCGCATATTTCCTTCAAAAAAACCTCAAAGTAGGAATTTCACCGGCTGTGTCTTTTTACATATTATGGCAGAGTCTCAAGAAATGAAGGGTTGTCACTTTAACATTCAACGCGGATAATTCTGGACACACATGGATTTGAAGGCTCAAATTTCAAAGGTGAGCTGTGAACACTATTACTGATTGGCATAGCCAAAAAAACGTTTCTGAGAATAATGTAAAATTGGTCAAACGAATGGTGAATCTGTACCTTTGAATTTATTTGATCTTGAGCGAGTTGATAGAGTTGTATAGGGAAGATTATCCATAAGTATATTTCCGACTGGTAAGTATAACTCATTCGTACAATTAAACTTGACAATTTTTGGGGGGAATTTTCGTAATATTGACTAGTCTCAGACGACCAGTCTATATCTGTCAATGACGAAAGCTGTTGCACATTGAATGCAGTAATGAGGTCTATACCAAGTTCAATAATCTTACATAGACAAACTGGACTGGATGATCGAGGCTAAAAATGGTAAATTCTGAAAGTGACTTGAAGATAAAGGCTAACTAAATTAGTATAGTGCAGAAAACGAAAGTAATATTATTTCTATTAAATATTTCACGACCGATATTTGTACCTCATATTATTATAGAAGAAATAGAAAGGTAATTTTCTCAGATTGTAAATTGTCGGGAGTGTAGCCCATTCTAAGGTATATTAATTTATTTCGCAACAACTCCGTTTAACCTTACAACACTATATCATTATCATCACGCTGAGAAATAATCCGCATGAGAAATAATTTGGAATGCGTTCTTTTGCAGCTAAAATCATTAAAATGCAACTAGATCAGCATTAAATGAATAAATTTATATTTGTGAAAAAATCGTCTTAATCATAGGTTGATGTAAATTACGACTATGGTTTGACAGTCGCGTGTAGAGATACACGATCAGCTGTGTTAGACAGTAGTCTATAAATATAAGGTCATGTACACAAAATCCATATTAAAGATTCCCTATCTGTTTAATAGAAAGTAAGACTACTTTCTCTATAAATAACTTAAAGAATTTTAGTGACCTATCCTATCTGAGAATAAAATTGTACCGAAAGGTAGGTACAATATCTTATAAATACACAATTACCCTATCGATATTTATAGAGATCAATGAAGTACACGTAGCAAACGAACGTTACTGCACTGTTACTTATTGCAACAGAGTAGGCTGGGTTTATTTACCACTGCCTGAACCAGTCATACTTCTATTACACTGTAAAATTAGTTCTATTTGAATAACTTTTACTTTCCGACCACTTTGCTTTACTAATAATTTTTCTAAGAAATGATTGAAAAAAAAAACCCATGATATTATACTGAGTGTCTAGATTATCTTGTACATAAATTGCTGAAAATGTAAGTCTAAGATGAAATTATTTACAGTAGGGAATTTTTACTCCGAAATGTGGGGTTATTTGCACAGTAAACTTTTGGGAGAGGAGTATGTTTATTTGTAATGTAACATTATTAAACCTTATGTTTCTTTGGACATTTTAAGATTACTCTCTGACTACATTGAGCTCTGAATTGAATTTTACTCTCATTTCATAAATATTCAAAATATAATTTTCAATCGTATACAATTTAAATATAAGGTTCAGTGATTTAACATTTAAAAAAGACACTGTACTCCCAGAAAATTAATATTAATAGTGACATGTAGGTGAAAACATAATCTTTGAGTGTCTTGGAAAAGAAAGAAAAAGTTAAATGCTAGGAGAGTAATTATTTTCAAAGTGACTAATTACCTTATAATATAAACAGATGTCTAGTTAGAATAATCTGGATTTCAACATTGTTTTATACTCTCATCGTTATAATTAGCTCGATGAATATGAGAATATAATAGTCAAAATCTAATCTTCACAAAATGAATGGAATGATGAATCAAGAAATTGATTGTTTCGTTCATGTCACATCATCTAAAACAGTTTTGATATCTGAAATGTTAATCTAATTTGGAAGAAAAGCTATGATATGTCTGTGATTCAGTCATGTCTTAACCCACAAAGTTTGTTGAATTAGTTGTCACGCCAGACATTGGGTCAATTACTCTGAAATGTAATCAATTAAATTACAATTACTTGTTTATCATTACATTTCATTACTTTGCTTGATTTTTAAAAATGTAATCAATTACCATTACTTTTGAAAATCAATTATATTACATGATTACTTTTACCGGAATCTCAGACATTTATTTACAGGAGTTTTTGTTGATATTTGTATAAAAATGTTAGGAATATGGTCAGAGGGATCAGGAGATTTTAATACAAAAAATAATAAAAGATTTTAAACAGTAATCATAATTACAGCCTTTTTATACGCCCATATTATAATGTGGTTGTATATTGTCGTCGCCCCTGTCCGTCCGTCAATCCACAATTGACTTGTGAACGTAATAGAGACAACAGTTTTTATCTGATTTGAATGAAATTTGGTGTGATCATTCATATTCATGAGATTTTGGTCAAGGTCGAATATGACGATCTTCCGATGAACGGTTTTTGAGTTATTGCCCTTGACTTATGAAAAACACGTTAAAATTTGATTGTGAACTCAATAGAGACTACAGTTTTCATCCAGTTTAAATGAAATTTGGTGTTAATAATAATATTGATGAGATCTTGGACAAATTCAAATTTGGCTATCTTTTGATGAACAGTTTTTGAGTTACTGCCCTTGACTTATAAAAAACGCGTCAAAATTTGGTTGTGAACACAATAGAGAATACAGTTTTCATCCAATTTAAATGAAATTTGGTGCTAATATTTATAATGATGAGATCTTGGACAAGTTTGAATTTGGCTATCTTTTGATGAATGGTTTTTGAGTCATTGCCCTTGATTTATGAAAAACTTTGTGAACACAATAGAGAGTACAGTTTTCTTCTGATTTAAATGAAATTTTGTATGATCATTTATAATGATGAGATCTTAGTCAAGATTAAATTTGACAATTTTTCGATCAACAGAATTTGAGTTATTGCCCATAAATGCATCAAAATTTGTTAGGGATAGAGGTAACAGTTTATGTCAGAATTTTATTAAATAATGTGTGTTTGTTTAAATCAACAAAATCTTGCACAAATTAGATTTTTGGTATGATTTGACACAGATAGGTGACTGCCCTTGATATACTGAAAATGTATGAGGAAAGTGGGCGTATCTTGCTAGGCAACCACTTGTTGTGAATGTAATCGATTACAATGACATTACATGAAAAAATTTCAATTACAGATTACATCTGATTACTTAAAAATTTACAGATTTTGATTACCTCATGCCAGTACAGTCACACACATTAATCAACAAGAAATATGATAAATGACCTTTTGCTTCTCGTCTTAGAAATCTTTTTTATACATAAACATTGTTTTCTTTCAGAGGTCTATCAAATATTTAATAAGCTTAGAGAGGTGAAAAAAACTAGGTGAAATCATGAACAATGAAAGTGTTGCCCCTAATGGCTTTCACACAGTGACCACAAAACATTATAAAAGAGACCCATCACATCGGTAGGTATTGTTTATTTCATTCACCTATTTTTTCTTTTCTTGGAATATACTCCACAATTGATGTGATCTGTATATTTACATATGAATGGATGGTGGAGAGATTAAAAGCGGATGAAAGAGTGACTTTAATGTTCTGGATATGTGACTACTGTTGATATGTAGTCCAGAACATTTCCAAACTATCCTACCAATTGTCTAAACAACAAATTTCACAAAGATCTAAACTCTCTTATGGTTTTAAAGAAGGCTGAACTATATAGAATCTCAGCAATGAACAATTTCATAATGGAGATAAAACTTCACAACTCTAATAAATGTAACTTTTTTTAATTATAATATTTATCGTATTTTTGAAATAAAATAAAATTTTGGCCCTTCAAATATTCAAACATTGAGATGTCAATTAACCCTTATGATATGTATTAATTGATAGTAAAGTGCCTGATTGTATCATTAATTTGAGTAATGTTTTGCATAATTTCATATAAATGTTTATAATTTGTATTATTTATAGCATAGTTTTGCATAGCATGTTAGTAACTTGTTAGTAAATAAACAATGTACAAATAAATATTGCTATTTATTCATTTTATAGGATTTTTGTAAACAGAAGCCTCCATTTAGAAAAAATCAGATTTTTTGGTTTTGATATGGATTATACATTAGCTGGTAAGAACTTTGATCTATTTTAAGATAAAAGATATACTAGATCAATGGGTTTTGCATTGTTTTTTTTGACATGTTTATGATAATATTATAACACACATCTTAACAAGACACAACCAGGTTGTGTATGGTTCCGAAAATTTAACATAAGGGTGTGAGAATTTATTTTTACAAGTTTCAATTATTTGTTGTACTTTTCTGGAAAAAGACATCATGAGTTATTGCCCATGTTCTTGAATTACTCGTAAACACTCTAGAAGGCACAATTCTTGACAGATTTTCATGAAACTGGCCATGAGTGTTTGTAATCACCCAAGGTTGAACCCTATAGGTTCCCTTCAGCACATAACTTACCCACAATAAATTATAATAACTGATCAAAGCAAGAATATACTTCTATGACACAAAAATAACGCTTGAAATTAAGAGTTTTGGCATGTTTATAATAAAGTTTTTACAGGGTTTCTTAATTATATTATTTCAATTATTGATCGATAGTCTGTTATTGATAATCGATCTCAATTTGGTAATCGATACCCAGCTCTAGTTATTGACACAAATCTTGAAAACGCATTCAATTTCTAGCTTGTAAACACATAAAGCCTTGATTCTTACCGGATTTTGAAGTATCATCACAAAAAGTGAATTTTTCATACTAGGAGTGTTGCTGCTTTGACATTCCATATTTCCATATGATTAAAAAAGACATTTGTTATTAAATTCTGCGAACAATTGTAAAAAAATTTTTTCTTTCGTGAGCATCTTTCCCGTGAGAATTTGTCCTGCACTCAGCTTTTGTAGTAGATTATGTTTTTTGACTGGTAAACCATCTTTTGCACTATCCATATTTCTTGTCATCCTACAATAATTTTCATAAAGCTTTGATGTTTCAATATCAGGTATAGTCTAGCTTAAGCCATGGAGGTGAAGCCTAAAAAAATCTTGAAAGTATCAAGTAGCATTTAACAAGTCAAAACTTGTTACTTTTGCATTTTTAGTTCAAACTGAGACAAAATTCAAACAATATTCTTTCAGTTTATAAGGCAGGGGAATATGAAGCCTTAGGTTTTAATTTGTTACGAGATAGATTGTTAGAGATTGGTTATCCGTCTGCAATAAAAGAATTTGAATATGATCCATCTTTTCCAGTAAGGTAAGCATGTTAAATCTTTTATTTGTTTTTCTTAATTTCACATTATTTTCATGATTGCGAACTGTACTTTATCATCTCTTAGATTTTTGTATATAATAATCAAATATTTTTCTGAAATACAAGCTATTAAGATATGTACGCTTGGCTTTTATTTCATACTGTGTATAGAGTTGGTCAGGTACGGTAGTGTTTACACAGAAATAATGTTCTTGAATATTAGGTCACTTATTAACATTAACCCTGAACTTGATGAATAAAGCTCTAATAATATAAGAAAACTAAAAAAACCCTGTACTTGATGTTTGAGGCTAAATTTAGTTCAGCCCAAAAATACTTTCATCTTGATGTTTGAGGCTAAAATAGTCAAATTTGACTATTATTATCATTTTTACAAAAAAAAACAGTTACGACACTTGTTCAAGATATATATGGTGTAAAAGAATTCAAGGTGGATTTTGAACAGAAAAGGGCCACGATTTTATGTGGAAGTCTTAAGATGGGGTGAAAGGTTACTTTATCAAATTCATTCTAAAAATACTTCATACATAGGATCCATTGCATGCATGCTTAAACAGTTTCATTCTCATAAAGTTATTTTTGGCTTATTCTGCGTATTTAACAGTGGCCAATCTGTCTTTTAATAACATTTGTAAGATTGACAGAGAGCATAATTTTATCATGATATCTTTGACTCCTTCCATTTAGTTTGAACCATCAGGAAAACAATTTTTTACAGGTTTAATAATATAAATGAATTGTTTATAGGTTACAGAAGCCTAAGTTTTGATCAAAAAGGGTATGAGTATATGCATTGATGATATATCAATAATTTAAAAAGTTGAAAATTATATACTTTATATACCAAAAAAAATTGATATAATTTTATAAATGCTGTTAGGTTCATATGGTTTGTAGGAAAGTTTATATCTTCCACAAAATTTGCTCCTGTGTCAGTGAATAACTTTTTGCGTAGGCACTCATTGCAATTCTCCAAGTAAATATTTACCCACTTGAGATAAAGTAGAAGTAAGATATTTTTGTCAATATGAACCCAAAAATAGCTTGGATTTTATCATATCAATTTCAAATCTGGTTGGTCTTATCTATTGTAGACCTTGATATTTGCTTTTGAACTACATTATACTTATTTTTACATGATAATTGAAAAACAACTTTCTATGTATCCACATGTATTACTTGATTCTACTAATTGTATTCAGCAGTACGCTCTTAATAACCCCACCTAAAATATTTTATATTTATATCAATTATTTCTACTTGGCTAAAGTACATCAACTGAATTTTGTTCTTTTCAATGAGATGAAATTGAGTATTGAATTGTGATATATACTTTGGAAGTATGTTTTCCCTCTTCTCTGAAAAATTCATATTTTTAATTTTTTCAAATTTTTTTTTTGGGATATTTGTTTTATATTTTTTTTTGTAACTGAAAATGGTATACTGTTTCTCATTTGATCATATTTCTAAACTCATAATAGTTTTTTAAAGTGAATAAATAAAACAATATTTTTGCATTTCCTTTTCCAGAAGTGACCTATTGCATTATTTGCACAAAATTAGCTTATATGAGGACTGATTAACCACAGGTTTTTTTTGTAACAAGATGACATGTATGTAATCCATTTAAATAAATTGAAATTTTAAAACTTTTAGCCAACTTTCCTGTCATCCATTTTCCAACCTCATATATCAATCATGTCTTTTTAACATTACATGTCCTGTCAAAGAAGTCTTCTTAGAGAAGAGCATACATAATGACCTAGATACAGGTCTGTCACAGTTCTGTACCTATATTTAGAAACACCATTCCAATGATGTCATGGATTACTGTGCACACAAATCTCCTAATGGACAAACAATCTGTACGCTTATTACATTTCTATGCAATTACCATGTGTATAAGTAGAGCTTAGACCAACTTCAAACTCGGAGAATATGTTTGTTCAGCTTTAGAATGTAGACATGTTTGATCGAAAAAGATCAGAAGATATGATTTATTAAAATTCAGATAATAATTTATGGTTTTATTTCCATATCGGGGGTGTGAGTTTTTTAATTTGGAAACAAACACACTTTCGTAAAATTTTTGAGTCCTCACAGAATATCATTTTTTGAAAGACGAAATAGTGGTATTCTCTGACTACTCGAATAGGCCCTATTTAGTGAGAAAATGGCAGCAGAAGCAAAATATTTGACTTTAGATTACCATATCATACAAATGCATGCTGATGGAAAATATTTGAAAATAACAGCTAATTAAATTCAACTTTTAACCATGTATGACATGCCTTGGTGAAGATTTTTTGGACAGACCAACTAGTTGTAGCCGTTGGGCCCTTGGATTGGTATTATCATATGATAGTAATTCGGCAGACATTTTGGACAAGCCATTAGGCACTGTATTTTATAGCCACTGTACGCATTGTTTATCCACATCATCCGGGTACTTTATGAAGTCAGCTTCTGGCCCAAAAGCTACGAGGTCATTCATGCTCCTTGCTATTTAATTCCTTCATTAGATGATTCAAGGCCCGTATTCATGCCCCTTCTCAAGTCAGTACAGGTTATTTTTTCTGGTTGGCCCTATGGATAATCAAAATCCTTGCATGAGCCAAGCCAAGGCTTAATCGTGGTCTGAGGCAGGAGCCATTTTGTTGACAGATGCCATGTCAATTTTGATGAAGCACCTTATAATGGAATGTTAGGGGATGGATCACACGTTACCTTGGGGCACCATTCAACATGTTTGTTCTACGATGTCTTGTCATGTTGTTGCATACACTATTATGGAGAATCAGTTGATATATTAAACAGATTTACACAGATGGCAAAAGAATATAAAATGCACGTTTATTTTTGGACTTGGCTGCAATAAACAAATAAATGTATCCTGAATACAGGTTTTGAGAGTCTTATTAACCCACATTAAACAAACCCCGCTACACTTCGATTTGTGGATGCTGAAACGAGATGGGTCCTATATATCTGACCAATCACATTTCACATCAGGTTAAACCGAAATGAAGAAGGTGTGAAGGCATGTTAATTTAACTAAAAGTTATGTTTTGATTTCTCAGCTTCAATTCTTTATTAAATATCTTACTCATTTCTGTACCATCTGTAATGAGTTATGTTATCTAAGATCTCCTAGAAAGATTTTTTGAATTTTGATTGGATAGTATTTAGCTTGGAATATGTAATTTTCCTCATTTCTATTACCACTGATGTTAAGAAGTATGACAAATGGTTTGGACTAGAGCTTAATGAAAGGTCATTAACCTTCATGGGACAAGATCTCCATCCATTTGACCAATTGTATCTTAGTCTCAGAAACCGGTCTCATTTTTAGCAAAGCTAATCAGTATTAGTGTTCACAACTCACTGTCCATGTTTGTCTAGAATTATCCGTGTTTGAATGTTGTCATTTCTTTAGACTCTTGCTATATAGAAAAGATATAGAAAGTACAATTCTTAGTTCTCTGTATTTTTTAAGTAATAAGGCGTTTTTGTACTTTTTAAGTACTTCTGAAGACTATTTACAAATATTCCAGATCCAAACCAAGCCCCAAAATGGTTGCAGCATGCAAAATTGTCATTATCTGAAACACATAAATTATACCTGAAAATATTTCAAAATATGCTATTTACATCTATGTATCAACTTGATCAAACTGTTTTAAAAGGGTTAATTAAGTGTGCTAATTGTTAATTTAGCAGTTCGACCTAGTTTTGGTGTTCGGCTTTATAATGACATGACATGATATCATTAAAAGAAACCTTAAGTAGGAGGCATATTTCTCTTAAAATAGGTGTTTATTTTACTCAACTCCGTACAGTAGTTTTCTTACTTCAAAACTCACTTGAAATGGATGTCTGAATATCTCATGGTAAAATAAATGCATGCATTGAACATTCATAGATTAATTATAACAAGTTCAGGTACTGGTAACTCCAAGCTATAACTGGATATGCATGTATATTTAGATGAGATCTCGGGACAGATTCCAATTTAACAATTGATTGAAGTTTGTGTTCAAATCTTGGCATATGTGCTCTCTTGAAAGTCAAAAATGAAGGTGTGAAATGAATGATGCACATGGCTAAATTTAAAAAAATTAAAACCATACTTCATTAAATTTGATTCTGGAAATGCTTACATTGTGAAGACAAAAGTCTTATGACATTTTCTGTCTCATGTTACATTATTTGCCCTTTCTTATCTTTAAGAAATATATTATACAAAACCTTGATATACAAAGTAAAATCGCCATCAAATCATAAATCTATGTCATAAATTAAGCCACTTTTAGTCAATCTTATATGAAATCCTTTGATTTATAGCTAATCTACTCATAAGATAAATGACTTTTCTAAGTCTTGTATTTGACAAAATGCCAGAAATTTGACATATGGTTGGACATGCACCATTTTTCTTTATATATAATGGATTAAGAGACTGAAGACAGTTTATAGAAAATGTAAATAGCATGAACCATACTGATAATATAACCGCGCTTCCACTGAGAATTGTAAAGTAAAGCTAGCTCTAAGCTGCCAAATGCGAGTTTAACTGGTTCCCGAACGACTTTAGCCTCAATCAAAAAGTCAAACATTATTGACAACTCATGATGACTTCTGTTTAGACCAGTAAGAAATGCAATAAACCAGATAGACCTGTATTACTCTATTGCTGAACAAGATAAATCTGGCTTTTTGTGCTTTCACTGGTTAAGTGAAAGCTGGTTTTAAGCTAGCTTTCAGTTGCCCCCCAAAACACAAATAGAGAGGTTTTTCGGTTCTCGAACCGGTGCTGCAATTTGCCCAGTGGAAACACACGAAATCTAGCTTAAACCCGGCATTTTCACTCAGTAGAAATACAGTTATTATCTTTCTACTGTTATTGTTTAGCAACAACAGTTATCCAGACCCTAGTATTGACAACACTTTCTTGACTCAATAGTAAACTCTTTAAGTCAACAAACTTTCCTAATCAGAAAATGAATTTTAATCAAGGTTTCTTTTTATTTGTATCTGAGTCAATTTAATTTGTCTTTGATCCATTCTGGTCAATTTTCACTTCTAAGGTATATGTTAGTACAGCTTGAATTATCTTACAGCACTTTTTATAGATATATGATATGATTAGCAAAAACTGAAATCCCATACAAACAAATTGCTTTCACAAATTTTAAACCATTGATCTGATGACAGTAATATTCTCACATATGAAAAGGACATTAATATTCAAAGAATGATGTGTTGTCAAAATCTGAATCAAATAGAATCAAACAAGATCGCAAGATTAGAAATGGTTTCTAAGACTGTAGATGCAACCTTGTGAAGAAAGGTTTTGATAAGTATAAATAGTTAATTATTTAAGACTAACTTTTTTGCTACTCCCCTGTAGCAGCTTTCGATCAAGCTATGGTGTGTACTTTTTTAATTTTTATACGCCCTACAAATTTGGCTTGTAAACACGATATGGGCTACAGTTTTCATCCAATCTTAATGAAACTTGGTATCATGTATATATTGATAAGATATCAGGTAAGTTCAAATTTGGCTCATTTTAGAATAACTATCTTTTCATAAACAAGACTCTTTACTTCTGGCATTTTATAGGCTCAAATGAAATTTATTGGCTTCACTCATGTCTGTCTGTCTGTCCATCTGTCCAAAGTTCTCTTGAATGCAAATTTTTGACAGTTTTTGACGAACTTTGGTTTTGAAAATCAGAAAAATATTTAATATGTGTAATTGACCTTGTTGTTGAAAATGTGTCAAATTTTTAGCCTGTAAACTCTCTAAAAGAAAAGCTTCTTGATGGATTTTGACGAAACCTCGGTATGAGTGTTTGTTATCACCCACGGACGAACCCTTAGTATTTAAAATCAATGAACATTGAATATCAATTATTGCACTTTTTCTGGAAAGAACATTCAATTTTTAGCATGTTAACATTATAGAATTTTTGAGGGATTTTCAGAAAACTTAGTGTAAGTGTTTAATGACAAGGGTGAAAATTAGGCCAAATTGTCTTATTATAAAGGTACCGTCTGTAGAATGTGGGTCACTGAGCTATAAATAGTTACATGTGGCAAATGTCAAAAAATGTTGAAACTCTGAGTACTCCGACACTCTTGCTAATCCGACATTTTGTTGCAGCCCCAGTGTATGTTGGATTACGCAGAGTATACTGTATATATTAATGAGATCTCGGTCAAGTTAGAAATTAGTGATAATTCGGATGAATAGTTTTCAGAGTTATTGTTATTGTTATTTGTAAGACTAATGGAATGGAAATCAGAGCCCAAAAAATTACATCTTCTTACAAAGAATATCTTGATTTTCATTTTAAATGGTTTCATTTTCAGAGGCTTATGGTTTGACAAATTGTATGGAAATTTATTGAAAGTGGATGCTTATGGTAATATTTTAGTATGTGCTCATGGATTTGATTTTTTAAAACCGTAAGTTTTTACTTGAAAATGTGAAAATACAAATATAATGAGAGTTTGACAATGATCACTAAGACGCTTTGACAGGATGAAAATATGAAGCTTTTTTTAACTTTTGCAACTAATAATTCACTCCCTAGACGAATACCATTGAAAAAGTTTTATTATTGAAATCAGATTAACTCGTGGCGATGTACACAATATTGTGATAGAGGCCATAGTATTTATCTGATTTGGTGAAACTTGATATGGTTGTAAATACTGATGAGATCTGTTATGTTCCAATTCGACTATAATTAGGGTGATTTATTCAAACATAAGGAAGAGATTTCTTATTTTGAATTAAGATAATGCAAATTAAACTTTGACTTTTCAAACTTAAGTACACTGTTTACCTGCTCTTGAATCTCAAATAGGTTATAGTGACAGCTGTTTCAAATTATATAATAAAGTAAGGAGTGGTGGTTGAAAAAAAGTAAAACACTGCTTTATAAATGTATGTCCTCTTCTATGAAGCATTAAGTGACTATTTTGAAATACCCACATAAAATCTGTGTAGTCTACTGTGGTTGTTGGGTTTTTACTGCTTTTGCATCTTGTCCAACGACATACCATGATGCCAGTTTTTGACCAGATTCACTATTTGAAAATATAATTAAACAGGGACAGGTGGGCCATTTTTTTTCTTACCAATACTACTTTTTTAGCTAGGCTGATCAGTAATAGTCTTCACAGCTCACTGTCGAAGTTTGAACTCATGCATTTGAATGTTGAAATGACTTGTCAATTTAGCATGCTATGTGAATAGAATAGACATATATATATATAGAAATAGTGAGTAAAAAAAAGGGGAAGATGGACCATTTTGGGTTTGATTTTTGTCTTGAATATATGTAAATAGTTTTCAGAAGTACTAGAATTGTACGAAAATCACATAATACCTTCAAAAATACTTCAAATTAGGAATTTTACTCACTATTTCTATATATGTCTTTTCAATATAACACGGATTATCTTAACATTCAAACGATAATTCTGGACACGTGGATTTTAAGTGTCAAATTTCGGAGGTGAGATGTGAACAATATTGCTGATTTTATAAGCTAAAAAATTGCTATTTCTGAGACTAAAATATGATTGGTAAAAAAGAATGGTGCATCTGTCCTTTAAGAGAATCATTTTTGTACTTCTGGAGACTATTTACATTTATTCAAGACTAAACTCAAACCCCCAAAATGGCACCTCTGTCCCTTTAAGCAACAACCCTCATTAACCTTATTTCATTTATTTTACAGACATGAAATAGCACAGTTATATCCTAATAAATTTGTACAGTTGGATGAGAATAGATTATTTGTATTGAATACTTTATTTAATTTACCAGGTATGATATAGATTCATTAATAAATTAAGACACATGTAGCTGTAAAATAGAATTTTAAAATAATCCAACCCTTCATGTTTCAGTCTGATATTCATGTCACTAACTTTTATTATATGCCCACATAAAATTGGCGTCAACCATGTTGTCCAAGTTTGTTCGTGAACACTAAAATATACGCTTGATATTTCCCTTGAAAACATCTCTAATTTCTTATTCAGATAACTTTTTGTTTAGTTTTGCACTGCCACTTACGTATCCAGAGGAAATTCACCTCTAGAGGTAGATATTGTTCTTTCTGGATAACTTATGGTTATAACCAAATAAGTTTATTTGCCAGTGTAAAAGCATGTGGAAGTTATTTAGATAGAACTGGATAGAACTGAATTAACTTTGCAGTGTGAGCAGTATAAATGTTTTATGTTTGAAAAATAGAAATAATTAAATGATAAATATTATTTTGATTACAGAGACATATATGTTAGCTTGTATTATTGATTATTTTAACTCCAGTAAACAATATAACAGGTTAGTTTATCTCATTATTGTAACTGGAAACCTCTCTACATAAAAATTCCACCTTAAAGTAAGTCCAAAAAAAAAGTGTTCAGGTAACTCACACAACTAAATGATCATTGTACCATCACACTACAAAAAACAGAAATATCTAAAAACCTAGTCAGGGGCCTTTGTCCTTTGTAGACCGTGGTGATTGGCATTCATTTGACCTTCTTTGAGCTTTTACGACAACGACCGTTCAACAAAATATTTAAGTTGAACAGGGATACACCATACATAAGATATAAGATTTAAGTTTAGTTGTTTACATGATTCAAACAACCGTGTCACACAAAACTATGTATGGTTCTTACGTAGTTCACAACCATTTTGAGTCTCTTCCTCTACTGAAAGTCGAATTTTCAAGTAAGCCTTCAAATCACAAAGGTTCAGAAATGGTGTGAGATGTGATTTGAAGGCCATGTTGAAATATTATAGCCTTTTAAAAACTTCGACTTACATGTTAGTTTCGCTTGGCCTTGTGTGATGCAGGGAGAGCATATTATTGATTACCAGCTAGAAATTTAGAAAGAGTTGTCTTTACGTACTACATGCTTAGTATATGTACAATGTTTCACTTTTTATCAGCTATTTAGTTTATCACGTGTACTTCATTTAATCTGTTTTTGTGTTATTTCTATAGAGAAAAACAAGGTATTAAAAGCGGTAACCTGTATTTCTCCTACAAGTCAATCTTCCAAGATGTTAGAGGGGCTGTGGATCATGTACATTTAAATGTGAGTAGATCTTCTTTTCCAAAAATTGCAGCCATTTCTACCAAGACTTTTGTTCATAATTCCATAATATAGAAAGTCTAAGATATTGTAACCAAGAAAATATATTAGATTTATGATAAATTTGACATATGTATAATAATTGTCACATGATAAACTAATCATGAAAGCTATATCCCATTGGACTGTATATTCCTATTTGCCACTTCATGACCTCTAATCTTGGTAGTGAAAGATAGAGAGAACAAGAAAACCAGAATGAAGTTTTCAGTTATTCACTATACATCTTTCTTTTGTTTATCTGTTCTGAAATATGAATTTTTATTGTGACCTTTGATGTGTGGACAAATATGATATATTAAGAAAATAATACTTCTCAAAACTTCTTTCTCTAAAGTGTGGTCTAAACTATTTACAGATATCTACTAGAGAGTTGTAAATTTTTACTTAAGTACACCCTTGAACTTTGCACTGAAATACTGACCCATATTTTATAGTGTAGAAAATTGTACATACCTGTGATAGGGCTTGAACTCCTAAAATAGTGATTAGGGGTTTTAAAAACATGTAGAATTCCATGCATAACTTTAATTGATTGAATAAGATGCCACTGAGAATTAAAGTACTACTAAAAGTTTTTATATATATTACATGTGTATGAAGTTAAATGAACACAGTAAATATAGTTGAATTTAGACAGTTTTTAACAATTTCAAATTTTTAACCTGTTTATCTCACATGATGAAAATGCAATAAAACCTTTGAAAGTATGACAAAAATATGAAGATAGTGTTAAAAAGTCTAGTTTCATCAACCCCATGTTAAAGAGTGCCTATGGCATGAAATGAGTTGCCAGAAATATTTAATCCAGCAATGAATTTCTTATTACATAAGCAGGAGTGAAAGATGCTATTGTTATTTTGTAATCTATTGGTTTTATATTGTTTTTATGAAATTGTATTATGAACCTGGGGAACAGTACTGATGTGTGAATAATTTAATGGGTTGGAAAATTGGTTTGTATTGATGAAACTATTGAAAAGGGTCTAGTTGTTCTTTTGAATTCTATTTTTTCTATACTCTTCGAGTAGGGAAATGTGGACGTACATTGCCATCTCCCCTGTCCATCAGTCCATCCATATTTTGTAAACAAGATTAGGGTTACAGTTTTTAACTGATCTTATCTGATCTACAGGATGCAGTTTTGTAAGATAACAACAATACCGTTTATTATCATTTATTGTAAGGACAAACATATCATACAACAAACCCTTCAATAACGAGGGGTAGACATGCTCTTGTTAAATCACAATCCAGAACCGAACCTTTCCACACCAACCATACTTGATCACCGTCTAACAACTCATAAAACGCACGAACGATACGATACAAGTGTCGGCCCAAACACAACAGTTTTTATCCGATCTTAATGAAACTTGGTATGTATTTATTTATTAATTAGATTTGGTAGCAACCTGATGATTGATCATAGAAAATATAGATGTTTAATCAATTTGATGAGAGAATGTGTATGTTGATTTTAATATTTGAATGTTTTAAAGCTTACAAAAGAGAAATAGTATTAAAAAAGATAATTAGGTTGATTTTTAAATCTGAATGAAATTCAAAATGATCAGAAATATTTATTATATATTACTTATGTTCTTCAAATGCATTCTAATTATTTGCTGTAAAAACACAACACTACACAATGATAACTTTATGTTTTAGGGTGCCTTGAAAAATGAAACCACAAAAAATTTAGAAAAATATGTGCAACGAGATGAACGATTACCTCTTCTATTGGACAGGTTAGTCTTTATTTTTTGGCCTTTAGCCTTAGACAAAAGGTATTATATTTGTACCCCTGAAGCCTCTCAGTATGCAACTGTAACAGAGGGGCAGATCTATTAATGATCTAGATAATGTTGGCGCCATTTACGCGCATTTCGAAATTACGATAGTAAATTCGTTGATTATGTTATCATCTATTTTACCACTTTACAAAGATTCATGCAGATCAGATCTTATGGATCTGTGAACCATGATCAATTATAAAGATAATATAGTATAAATATAACAAAAAACCCATGTACGAATGATCAGAACTGAATAACGACACTCAACATCCATAGAAACAGTTTGGCAATACATTGGTTGCAACAAATAAACTATTAATATGATATCAATCACAGATGAAGAAGTATTTCATGATGAATAGTGGTGTCTAGGGAAGTAAGCATACCACACCTGGTGCCACACTACCCAAAATTATTCATAACTCAAGATTGTTGAACGACAAAACTATGATAACTAAAACCAAAGGTTGAGTCAGACTTCAGCTGGTTCCACAGGTTGTGGTTGAAGTACAACTACCATTTTTTCTCAATCAGATGATGGATGGTGGATGTAGAGGTTATTGGATGTCAACATCCGACAACCTAGATTCTATCATCCAGACCCACTTCTCTGCGCACAACAGTAACGAAAGTCTGAGTGTCATTGACTATCGGCTAATTTTACATTGTTCATCGGCTCCTTTAAAAGTATTTGAACGATGAGTTATGCAGTTTAATATATTCCCCATCATGAAACCCTATGCATCTTAATGCACGATATAGAAGAGTAAAAGATATTAAACTTTTTCTTTTCATATCATATTATGTTCATAAACAAAGTATTCTTACATTGAGATAGAAAGTTTTTGTGTGCAAGACCTATTTTTATTGATCTTGAGACTGAAAACTAGGAAAAGAAAAAAGATTCATCGGAAGTGGACATTCTATAATCTGATTGGACAACAAAAGATCAGCTTATTGATTTCAAACGTGCATTATTTTTCTACTTTCGGTTTCGATATGTTAGTGGAGATGGTCAAAGGTTAAGAATTTGATGAGAATCCATCTCCCGGCTAATCAAACATGTGACAGTACTTATTTAATATGATACTTGACAATTTCCTCCTGTTTAGTGTCCATCTTTGTATCAAATTCTTATGTAATATTTGAAATTTTGAAAGTTTTCATAATGGACATGAATATATATAATATATGAAGGATTAATTTCTGTTTATATATAGTAATTAAAGAATTGTAATTACTTAAAGATTTGACTTTGCTGAAATGATGATGTCTTTGTCCAATGCTCATTTCATGCCTTTTTTCTTAGGGGAAAATTGCATTGCTTTCATATTTTATACTAGAGTCCTTGACCTTAAATATTGACATTGCTGTAATCTGCTTGGTATCTGTTAATCTAATCTGAAGGCCAGAAGAAACTTTACCAAGGTTTGAAAACACCATAGATAAAAACAATACAATATATATGAGTTTTCAACTTGAAGATAAGTTTCCTTAATTTTTAGTATCAAATTAAGCAAACTATTTGTAGATATTGATAAGATCTTAGTCAAGTCCGAAATTAGTAATAATCAGATAAACTGTTTCAGAGTTATTGCCCTTGACTTAATAAAAATGCATTAAAATTGAACACTACAATTTTGATCCCATCTTGTTGAAACTTAGTATGCATGTATATATTGATGAGATGTTGGTCAAGTTTGAAGTTTATGATAATTGGATGAACGATTTCAGGGTTATTGCCCTTGACTTAGTAAAAATATGTCAAATTTGGCTTATAGGCATACTATAGACTGCAGTTTTCATTCGATATTGATGAAACTTAGTATGCATGTATATATTGATGAGATATCGGTCAAGTTTGAATTTGGTCATAATCAGATGAACAGTTTGAGTTCTTGCCCTTGAATTAATTCAATGCATCTAATTTGGCTTTTAGGCCTGATAGAGACTAAATTTTTTATCCAATGTTGATGGAACTTGGTATGAGATCTCAGTAAAGCTTGAAATTAGTAAAAATCGGATGATTGGTTTCACATATTAACCCTCTACAGACATCATTTCTGACAGCTTGTAGTGGGCGTATGTTACTTTGCCTAGCAAGCTATCTTTAATCATATCATGATGTTCTTATTGCATATTAAACCAATCTGTGTCTGTGTTTGTACAGTCTGGATAAACAAAAAAAGACTTTTAACATTTCTTGATCGGTCACTCATTGGAATTCTGCTAGTATAATTATGGACATGTGAGACAAACTGGTATTTCCCAAGTCGTAAGAACACCTCTACTTTTATATAAGTATTAGCAATGAAAACAAGGGAACCCATCTGTGTTTAACCACCCAGAGCTTCAATACAGGCGAATACTCTCCGATGCACAAAAAGTTAATCTTCTGATTAAGTCACATGGGATAGGTCGCCATTCCTCTTAGAGGTCCTGGATGAGTTTTTGATGATTGACTGTCACTGATGAACACAACAATCCATGATATCTCAGAGTTGTTCTATGGGGGGAAAGATCATGGCAACATGTTGATATTGTTGACTCCAAGGAAGTTGGTTATGATTCTGTCTGTATGGGGTCAGACCCAGAACAGTACTAGAGTAGCTGAAGCTGTAGAAATGGTAAGATTGTTGGATGAAGAATGTCAACGAAGTAACGCTGCGATGTCAAGTTGACATTAACGATAAACAGTTGAGTCCTCGTCTGCCCATAGATCTCTTCCCACACCACTCTCCCCGTACCACCCCTTGAACGCAATATGCTGCTATCAGTTCACCCCTGCAGCGATTAACTCTCCGCCTCCCATCATCTCTGAACGATTTGTTCTCACTTTGGCGGCAGATTAATGGATTAATTAAATCTAACCAAATTTAATAATTATGCATTAGTCACATTACAACAGATATGCAGTCACACAGTGCTAGAGACAAGAGTTAACTAATTAGCTGATATGAATGATATTCGCTTAACTTCAAATAACTGATGGTGTCAAAATGTTTAATATAAAGTGAACACTATTTATTGTTATATTCTCATCTTCACCACAACCAAACCCTTGTGACACATGTCTGTCTCTGAGATCCTGACCTGTGATGAAACATTTCATTTAGCCCCAGAGATGTTCCTCCAACTCTAAACTGTTCACATCTTTTCTGAACGAACAATGTTTCGTCTAGTTTATGCCCTCCTGCCCAACAAGAAGCAGTCAACATATCAGCGTTTTTCCAATATCCTCCAACAGCTGAAAACCAACAAACTACACCTAAGACCACGAACTATCTTCAATTTGATTTTGCCAGGATGCTGTAATTAATGTTTTTGACTGTGAACTGACTCTCTTTCACTATCGACCTTCAGTTTGGCACAATGTTCAGAAGTGTGAAAGGCTATCTTCATAATAACAAGAAGATGGTTGAATATGGAGATGCTTGTTTCCCATCTGGTTGGCTATTAACGTTTTTGTTCTTGTAATATTATGTGTATTACTATGTAAATTTATATAAAATTTAATGATAAATGTGTCAATATAGTTATCATTTGGAATAAGATTCACCTACCTTTGCCAACAGTCAGTCAATTAATCTGTGTTTTACCCTTCCATTGTTTGTGGATTATCTTAAAAGATTATCTTAACTACCCTAGACAATGAAATTTGATTACCGGTAGACTTAATTAATCTGTATAATCTGATAGAAAAGTGGGAACACCCCGAACCAACAAAACCACTAAAGACGAACCTCAATTAGTCCAGTTGTTGCCATCGTTGTACAGTTTGGGCCCATCCTAATCTCAGACAATAAGCTGTCAATGTCTGTCCTCTGTTTGCCCTCATTACTTGACATCAGAGCCACCTAGACAGGGTATGTTGATTAACACTGTGACCTAATGCATCAGCTCGCTCAATTACGTCACTGTCAGAATGAGGCTTGAGAGATGCAAGGTCATCACATGGTCACCCTGTTCTGCCCTTTCTAGGCCTTTCTGACAGTGCCTGTATTGCATTAAGTTTGTTACAGAAACAACCAATATTGCCATGTGGGCATGGGAAGTTCCCATCTGTACCATTCCCAGAGCTTTGCTATGTCAGTCATGGCATTCTTCTGGTGTTTTATGTTATCTGTGTGTAGGTCCGACATGCCATTGAACCCATTTTTGTTGGTTTTAATACCATTGGTTCACATGCATTTTTGTGTATTCAAGGATCACATGATTTTCACTTTTTTGAGATTTTCTCACCGCAATGAGCAGTGTATTCAATCATTAGGCCATACCAAAATAATTTTCTGTTCTTTGGGATTTCTTGAAAAAAAAAAGGTACGAGCGAACGAAATTTTTTTTTTAATTTTAAAAAAAGTCCCTTCGTACCATTAAAATTTTCCAGCATGGATGATTTTGAATGTATTCAGATAAAATAACAATTAATAGTATTTATTTATGGTGTAAAAAATAACAATAAAAAATAATAATAGGTGTCAGTGTTGCGGCCATACATGGTTAGCTCAAACATTTTGTTAAATCTGCAGAATAACATTCCAGCTTACTCACCCTCAAGGTGGGCGCTTTCTTATGCAACTCAATAACACGATTGTAGCCTTGAAAGGCTTCAAAACATTTTGGTATGGCACAACTAGCTGTTTTAAATTTGTCATGGTGCGTATTGACATACCACAAAAAATTTGTAATCTTCCACAAAATTTCTTTTGCACAGATTAACTGGTCTTTTGACCAGCCATCATCATTGTTTTGTACCAATCTAGCACATCACAAAATAGTTTTGGAGGTCCAGTTAAGGTTTTGTCAAAGACTGGTGGTGTAGGTTTTTCAGGAAACATTAATGTCTTTCTTGATGCCATCATAAAATCGAACACATTTTTATCACCTTTGGAAGTATTACAAACAGGTTCTTCCGACGAAGAATGAGAAGGAAAGTTAATTAAAAAGTCCACAAACAAATTTTCAACGAAAGTGTAACCAAGACACCGCCTGATTTTTCCATATTGTCCTTGATGTACACTTTTTCTGGGATCTGTGATATGCACGATTGAATTCCTGCAGATGCCAGATCATAAACATCTTTAAAAGTGTTTTCAGGCTCAACATCAAACGCCATGTATGGCAAAATAAGTTTCTGGTGTGACCTAATTTTGATTACTAAAATCATTTTGGTAAAAAAGACAAATACAAATATTAATTCTAGCACTGCATCGGCCATGCCTATTTCTGATAATTATCAACTTCCGGAATTTCGATGCGTTCGGTCGTCGAGAAAACGTTCTTGCTTCAGCGAAGGGCCTAAACTACTGTACGAACTCACTCTTTCAACAGCTGGAACATGTTCAACTATAATTGTCGCACGATGTCCACAAACTGACAAACGGAAATAGAGGGCGCTATTTGTTACTCCTGCTACCAAATTTTAGGCTTAGAGAAATAAAAATGAAACCAAAAATAAAAATGAAACTAAAAATGAGAGCTAAACAATCATGTTATCTGATCAATTTAGAGGTACGGACATACGGGCAATATATTTTTTTTTTAAAATTAAAAATTCTTTTTTCAAAATTTTACATAGGGGAGCTCTTTTGATACATACGGAATATTATTTTTTAATTTTAAAAATAAAATTTCGATAACGGAAAATCGGGTACGGAATTCCCGACGAACAGAATATTATTTTGGTACGGCCTTACTGTTATGTTTGAGAAATTTTGATGGATAATTATCGAACATGCAATATATTTTTTAAGTTGTAAAGTTTCTTTTCGTTACAGTTTATTTCATGAAAGTTACCTAAAGATACTTCTTTTACTAATTGTTGTGAAAATATATTGAGATTCATTTATGAATCTTTGCAACTTAAGAGTTAAGTTTAGTTTTCTGGCTATGTTTTATGATTTGATGATTAAGGAAGACTTGTGTTATATTTTCAGAATTCGACATCATGGTGGTAAAACACTATTAATTACAAATAGTGATTATGAGTATACAAATGTAAGTCGTCTTTATATAATCATAAGAATTCATGTAACAGACCGACTTAAAAAAAAATTAAATACGAAATTTAGTATCTAAGAGGCTGATAAACCTGTATGAAACATGAAATGAATTTTATTACCTAAATGATATTAAGCTTTGTGAAGGAGAAAGTAGGTGTATGGTAGATTGTTAGAATCCATAAATCTACATATAAACAGTAAAATTACAGTATGTAAACAGTGTAAAAGTTTATGAAATTATTTCCCCTGTATGTCGGTCTGTCGGTCAACATATTTCTTGTGGGTACAATAGAGACTACAGTTTTATTCTGATTTTGATGAAAATTTGAATTTGATGATTTTTGCGATGAAAATATTTTGAGTTATTGCCCTTGACTTAGCAAGATTGTGACAAAATTTGTTTGTGGGCACTATAGAAACTACAATTTTCAATGTATTTTGATGAAACTTGGAGTGAGAATAGGAATTGAAGATCCTTGATCAAGAATTCGACGAATTTTTTGATGAATAGATTTTGAGCTTTTACCCTTAACTTAGTCAAAGGTGTAAAATTTGTTTGTGAGATTACAGTTTTAATATGCTTTAAATGAAATTTGGTGTGATTAATAGATCTTGAAATTTTTGTTGAACGGTTGAACGCGTCAAAAACACTTAAAATTTGGTGTGATCATATATATTGATGAGATATTGGAAAGGTTGCATTTGACTAACAGATTTGAGTTATTGCCCTTGACTGAAACATGTCAAATTTGTTCATGTGCTCGATAGGTTCGATTTAAAACTTTATGTGATCATTGGAATTGATAAGGTCTTGAGTAAGGAGTTGATAACGTTTCTGAGTATTGAATAGAAACTTGACAGATTAATCATTATGGTTCATGTTGCTCTTTATTGAGTCTAAAAATTTAACCAGGCTGCTGTGTGGACATAAGTTTACCTTGCCTGGCAAGTTTTCAGTTGATTTCCAACAGACTTGTAGTTATGCAATGAATAAGGTCATCTTAAATAGGAAAGACTTCTAAGATTCTGTTCATAACGGCTAATGGCTCATTTATTTGCTCTTGTCTTATGATATTATAATTTTCTTTCAGAAAATTATGGCATATCTTGTCGACTTCCCAAGTGCTGTAAGTATACACCTGTTAATAAATTTATAAAATGTCTGTGGTATCTTTTATAAGGACTTGTGTTTAGAGGACCTGTTCTTACATGGAAATACCACACACAAACATAGTTTACAACCATTTTGAATCTCTAACACTTAATAAATTGATTTAAAACAAATTTGAAAACAATCAATCATTTTATTATTTCAGTCATTTCTGACTGTATCTGGAAAAATTTTGTTTATTTTTGTAAAACTTTATTGATGATTTGGCCTCTACCCATCAACCAAGTTTCATAGAAATTAAATAAGAATTAAAGAAGTTAGAATTTTGGCCAAAATTCTGTAGTCTACAAAAACATATAGACCAGATTTGTGAATTTCGGTGTTTAACGGCCGATTTCCAAAATTAAGGAGTGTTCTGCTACATCACTTCTGCTAATAGTCTGATGTCTGGAAATATATTTAAAATTTCTTCAGAAGATCTCTTATATCTGGAGTGATGCCCCTTTAACCCCTCTAACCTCTACAGAATTTGCCATGTACTCTGACAACAATATGAAACTAGAACTGTTCCCTGAACGGTACTGATGCAGGGCGTGTTACAACATTAAGATAAATAAGAAGATGGACAGAAATTTGGATAAGAAAAAATAAATTTCGTAATGTGCATGCGCAAATCACAAATTCAATATTTCTATCAAATTCAGAATTTGATTATACGCATACATACCAAATTTGGTGAGATTTGGATAAAAAAAATTAGAAAGTTAGTAATGTGCATGTGCAAATCGAATGTGCAAGTATATACCAAGTTTGAAGAATTGGAATAAGAAAGTGGGTGAATTGAGTCCTGCGCGTGGTTCCAAGTTGCTCCAGTAACCTCAACAGCATGACACCGTTTAATCAACCACAGATCATCCTTATATAATTTCGGTTAGAAATTGGGGAGAAGGTTCATGTCAAGTCATTTTATCTAAACAGACGAGAGGGGCATGACCTTAAAACAGATTTTAATATATCACAATGTTAAACGAATGGAGTTTCGCAATATTCATGTTACATAAACATCTTGTATATTGCTGGAAAATCTACATTACAAAATCGAAAGAATTATTGCTATATCTTTATTAGGGACCGAAATACTCTGAAAATGGACCATATGCAAACCCCTGTAAAAAAAAAAAGAGTAGTCTGAACCCAAAGGTTAATAGGTCATCAGGTAGACAGGTCACAAATTCTCACCATGGTAAATATATAGGTTAAGGTCATGAGATATAAGCCTCCAAAATTTGAAAAATTATATCTGGTCATACAAAAAAGGCAAAACTGAAAATCAAAATTCTGCTTCCTATCAATTGTAGACATACATCCAATATATCGTTTGACAGCAAAAAGTTGTGTAATCCGTTTTGTTGTATCTGTTGCCGTTTTGGAGAAATAAGATCCTGAGATGAATAAAAAAGAAAGTAAATTGGCAGAACCAAAAAAAAATGCAGGGCGTTCAAAACTGAGCACCCTGCAAAAAAGTTAACAAAAGCCAATAATTTGCGAGCTCAACTCAAAAACTGTAAATATCACATCTTTATGCGGACATAAGCTGCTTACTTAACTATTAGTACACTCCATCTTAATTTGTTCCTTTTAAAACAATTTCAGTTTGAAATAGATACATAGACTTTGATTTATAAGGAAATATAGCCCTATTAAATGATATATTACACAATAATATAAATGTACATATGTATGATATGAGATGGACAAGTTATTCTAACATGATCAAGTACATGAGCAGACATTTAGAAAAAAGTATTAATGTTTTCATAAAATATAGGTCAATATTATTTTTCCTCAATCAAGGGCAGTAACATTATATATGGTTTCAATATTTTGATTTTTAGGTAGAACAGTTGAATTTAAGAAGCTTAATATAGGGTGCTTTATAAATGCCTGAAGTCTTCACTGAGTTTCTTGATGTTTTAAAAAGATTTCTTATATTAGCGACAGCAAGCAAACATGATCTAATGTTTAAATCTTACAAGGTCAAGATGAAGCCAATCAGTTTTCATGATGATCAAAGAACCTCTTAAATTATGAATAACTGAGGACTTGCATTAGTGCTTCAATATGCATATGTTTCCTGCTTACTGAATATGCTGCTCCATGGAGTTACTTGTCAGGCGGTGTATTAAATGACATGTTCTTTAATTTTTTTTTAAAATGTCATATTACAGGATGGTACTAAAAGAGAATGGTCTACATATTTTGATTATATTGTAGTAGATGCCAAGAAACCATTATTTTTTACAGATGGTACAATTTTACGTCAGGTCGACAGAGTGAGTATGATATATTTATTATCTGTATTATCTTTATCAGACACATACACACTCCTATTGTCATTATGAATAGAATAATGACCGAGGACTGGTCAGAGAAAGCCTGAGAAAGAGAAAGGCAAGCTGTAGTTTATGTGAAGGCTAACCATCTTTCTCTTATGATATATCTGGTGGCTCAGAAAAAATAAGAACACTTTTGATATGATCATTATATTTTGACCTCTTAATTATAGATATATAACACATCTTATCAAACAAAATAAGCTTTCTTCGAAATGGCAGCATTTTCATGAGATCCTTCAATAAAATGAAATACACACAAACCATTTCACAAAGTTTTTTACTGGACAATTTTTAGTTGATCCAAATAATGTGGATACTCTATAGCACAATACATGGGTTAACATTCAAAAAAATAATCTGCTATAGAAAAAACTAAGTAGTCTTAAAGTCAATTAATGGATCAGTAAATAAACTTTGTGAAATGGTTTGTGTGTTTCGATTTTTTGAACACATTATAATGTGGTCGTATATTGTCGTCGCCCATGTCCATCTGTCCATGGTTTAAATTGATACTATCAGTGTCCCCAGAACACATAAAATTTTAGAAAACCCCTTTACAATCTCTTTAACAATATGTATTTTTATTTCAGTCAACTGGTACATTAAGAATTGGCCACCATTGTGGACCATTGGAACCTGGACAGGTGTATTCAGGAGGTAAGACAAGTCAAATTTACTTTAGTACTTGAAATAATGCCTTATCTGTGTACCAAAACATGCCATGGCAGTGTGATTAGCATAAGCCTCAGATAGGTTACTTTGAACTTGTGATTTCAAAGAAAGTTTTTGGACTGCATTTGTATGTGATGGAAAATTTCACTGATTATAAATGATTTGCTCTTCAGGGTCATGTGATGCATTATCAGAAGTCATTGGTGCTAAAGGTAAAGATGTGTTATATGTTGGTGATCATATTTTTGGTGATATTTTAAAGTCAAAGAAAACAAGAGGTTGGCGGACATTTTTGGTGATACCTGAATTATCTCGAGAGTTAAGAGTATGGACAGATAAACATCAATTATATAACTGCATACAATCAGAAGAAACCAAATTATCTAATGTTTACAAGTAAGTAATATAAACATATCAATTCATCTGCTGAAGCTTTGTGAAGAATACTTATGATACAAAATCAAATTTTTTTTGACTTTGGGGTGTAAATTTTGGGAAATTAAGGCTAGATGTCCAAATTGGCCCTTAACATAAATAAGATACACAGCTATTGTCCTTACTCTTTCATATTCAAATACTGTAGATTGTGATGTGTGATCAAAAGATAGTCACACAGAAGCATGGTCAAACAATTTCTCATTTACCCACTTAATTATACCAAGTTTCAATCATGCAAATCATCATTGTGTCCAAAGCACACCCCCATTCGTCATACTTCCTCGGGGCCGTGGTAACACAAGTAAGAAAAATTACATACTCATAGGTAAATATTGTCCAATCAAACTTGGCCCTACTGTATTGGTAGCAAATTTCAGCCAATCATAACAAACAATCGATGTGACGCGTTGTTTGCGAACGTAAACAAAACGAAAGCAGTGTGCCCTTACATATTTTGATGAATAAGTACCATACAGAATTGAGTAAGATTTTCGTTAAAGAAATGAAGCCGAGAGAAAATCAAACCTTACTTTGGAAAGAATGTGTTTTTATCTCTTCAAACAGGCTGTGGCACAGCAATGTTGTGCTTTGTTTAGCGATCTGAGTGGGCATATTACGATTTCATCGCTATTTTTTACTAAATTATGGACAATAACTCATAAATCCTTCATTTGAATATTGAACTCATCAAAATGCATACGAAGGTTCAACAAAATCAAATAACATCTCTAGAAGTCACTCTTTAAAGTATGAGAAGTTGCATTTACAAACACAATCCCAAAAGATAGCTTGCCAGGTAAGGTAATATAAGCCCACTGGCAGCTCTGATTTTGATTAAAAATATTTGGCAGTACAGTAACAATCATCAGTATGAAATATTCAACCTTCAGTCATAGTACACTTCTTTTGAGGCAATACTAAATAATATTGAGTATGAGTTATTGCCCTTGTTCTTGAAAAGGTGTTAAATTTTTAGCATGTGAAAACTCTAGAAGTCCAATATTCAATCTTCAGGACTGAAAAATAAAACCAAGTTTTGTCAAATTCCTGCAAGAATCATGCCTTTTAGTGTTTAACTCCTTAACTGCCACCGTCGCAATATTGTGACATTTTACCCGTGTGACGGCCAAACAATAAACACGAAACTACCACTACGAAAACGGTGTTGATATATGTATAATCAGATTTAGATATTTGTGGTAATTTGTAGACAAAAAAACATGCACGTTTCTTCTATAAAAAATCCCAAACAATTTGATTGAAAATAGGTAATATTTGTGAAAAGACGTCGCGAAATTTGAGTTTTCATAGCGTCATAACCATAGACATCTTATATAGATAGATATGAAATTTATGGCTCTAATGATGTCTATTCAACCACATCGGGTGACCTAAATAGCAATCGTCAATGTAAACAATTTCGCTGTCATGTATTTCGATCAACTTTCGATTGAATATGGTTGTATTTTGATGTAAGATGGCCATAGAATGGCCGAAAAATTGATTGTTGAGGCTATTATAACCCATATCTACACTGATAGTGACTATGAGGGCAAATTTTTGCCATCTGAAGACGACTGGCCATCGGATTCGAAATGTGTTGATATTGACCGTGATAATATTAATAATGATGAAAGTCGAATTCGTGAAGTTGCTGAATTTTTTGCTGATAATAAAATGTTTTATCCCTCCATTATCTTCTTTAATGAATAAAATAGTCCAATTGTTGCTATGATATGATCTCATGTTTTTCAAAAATAAACAGTGCCATAGTAATATACAAATATTCATAAACTTGTAACATGATGAAAATTGTTATCTACTAATTTTAGGTTTTGAACCTATTGTTGCCAAGGTGACTCCACAATGACGTTACAAGATGATGATGTCAGAAAAATGAACATTTCCATGATAACATACAAATATCACTGAACATTTTATTTATTGACACTTGGTGCCTACATCCCACAGTTTTGGAGCCACATGCTTGAAAAAAGGTATCATAGAATGTCAATTTTCTAAAAAATATATTCGGCAGTTAAAGGGTTAAGAGCTAAAATTTGAAAGCGTTTTTATGAACAAGGTCAATAACTCCTATGATTTTTTTTGATTTTCGATAGGGTTCATCCATGGGTGATAATAAACAATTTTACTAAGTTTCGTCGAAATCGGTCAAGAATTGAGTCTAGAATGTTTACGAGCTAAAAATTGAACAGGTTTTCAAGAACATGGATAATAACTCATACTAAATATTTTTGATTTTATTGATTTCAATAGGGTTCATCCTGGGGTGATTACAAACACTCACATCAAGTTTCGTCAAAATTTGTTAAGAATTGTGCCTTCTAGAGTGTTCACAATCTTAAAATTGAACGTGTTTCAAGAACAAGGGCAATAATTTATACTAAATATTTTTCGATTTTTCTGATTTTCAATAGGGTTCATCCTTGGGTGATTACAAACACTCATACCAAGTTATGTCAAAATCCATCAAGAATTTGTCTTGTAGAGCGTTTACGAGCAATTGTGGATGGACCGACAGACATGGGGCATATAAAAATCAAAGCAGCCAGTGGGCTTATATTACCTTGCCTGGCAAGCTATCTATATACACCCAGATGAAATTGAGGGGCGTATATTTTGTCACCCATGTCGGTTTGATGGTCCGTCCACAATAGCTCTTAAACACTCAAGAAAGCACAGTTCTTGACTGATTTGATGAAACTTGGTATGATTGTTTGTAATCATCCAAAAATAAACCCTACTGAAAATCAGAAAGATAGCTTGCCAGGCAAGGTAATATACACCCACTGGCAACTGTGATTTTGATTAAAAATATTTGGCAGTACAGTAACAATTACCAGTATGAAATATACTTCTTGGGGTGATACTGAATAATATTACAGAGTTTCATCAAATTCTGTCAAGAATTGGGACTTCTAGAGTCTTTACAGGCTAAAATTTAAACTCGTTTTCAAGAACAAGGGCAATAATATTTTTTAGTTTTTCTAATTTTCATTAGGGTTCATCTTTCGGTGATTACATACACTCGCACCAAGTTTGGTCAAAATCCATCAAGAAAACTCAACTGTTTTCTAACCAACAGTTTTATAATTACTCTCCCAGGCTATCAAAGAACATTTAAAGTTTTGTAAAAATATTGGGTCACCTTGTCCTTTGAACCTGTTATTCTTTGCAATTTGCTCAAGATTTAAAATTATTATTTGAACTGAACACATTTTCCTCTTTCAAATACCTTTTTTAGTTTGACTTTGAAATGTAAGATCACCTATATATTTTCCAGAATATTTCTATCATATTTCCACTGAATGACACATCCTAAACAATTCCCAAATCATTGGATAAGATCGTTTTGAAAAGTCAACAATCAATTCCTGAGTTTTACGTCCTACTTTAATGCACCATGTGGACTAATGAAATAGGTATTGGATAGAAAACTTACATTACCACTGAATTTAAGTGCGGTTTTTAACAGGAGATTAACTGTAAAAATGTTAAACTTTCTTTTGGTCAGAAATTCAAAACATACTTGAAGACGGTAATTGGCAATGTTTTAATAGAATATAGGTCAGAATTATCTTGCTTAGATTAAGGGAGATAACTATGGTTTCAATTTCTAAATGTAAACAAAAGATGATTAATTAAACACTTATATAAGGTAGCCTAATTAAGGGATTATCATATTATCGGGATGGTAATCAAGTTATTGTAATATCAAGCAGTTATTGATGGCTTTATAATTCAATAGAGAATTGTCATTAAATTTTGCATTTGACAGACATTGACAGAACCTATAGTTGATGTCCAATAGAGGATATTGACTTCCGGTCATTTGAGCAGCCCCTTTGGTCATGTCCGGCATATAGAGCCAAATCAACAGCCCTGGTCAAGATCAATAGAAAAAAATATATTGGATATTCCACAAGGTTCATTGATATGGGGAAGCAAAAAGTAATGTGGAGCCATTAGGAAAGCTGACACTGTCAAGATGTAAATGCCACTGTGTTTTAAATACAGTGGAGCCGCGTTTATCCGGTTGCTGATAACCCGGAAACCCTGATATCCACACAACTTTTATTTGGAACTGAATATTTACTATGTAACGTTACCCTTTAATCCGGTGATTTTCGGTTCCGCACAGTGAGATTGGGAACCAATTATCAAATTCTATAGTAATTAGTAGTCACCATCCTGTTGCGTGTCACTGTGAGTTATTCTAATTGGCTTCTGGATTAGTGGTATTTCTGATGTGTGATCGGTGTTTAATAAATCCTCATTGTCAGATTAATCACATGTAAGCTCTAAACATAGAGGTAATAATAAACATCCGAACACATTCATAATTGACTTTCAGGAAGCAACCCAACAAGCAGTCTTTCGTGTCATTGGTTCTTTTGTTAATGTTAGATGGAGCTTTTTTTAGCAGACGAAATTCAGTGTTGAATCCTTTTATGCACGAAAATAGGTTACATCACTGTATTAAAAGTTTTAAATAATTTGATTTTTTTGTAGGGGCTTTTGTCCTAGTGCAAAATTGTGTAGGGGCTTTTGTCTGTCTACCATAATAAAGACTAGAGGGCTAACTTCAGAACGATGCTGAAGTCTCTATGCGTAATGATGTCATCTTGTTTGTACGGAAAAAGATGCTTAAAATCGTATCTCTGTAAACAGCATTTCCATAATAACTTTAACCGAGTATCTGAGAATAATTAGATGTTCTAGTATTTAATAGATGTTATTTTCGAAACAAGGACACAAATATAGCTATTTCATGTTCTTCGTTATAGAAGCAAGAGCGACAGATAAAGTTCCGTCAAAGTACTCAACAAAGAGAGCGATAATAATGTCAAGAAAACTCATAGAAATACGCTAAAATTAGTTCATCCTGATCATGGGTATATGGAATGAATCCAAACCCAGTGATCTATCAGTATGCGTGAGTGAAGACGGCTTCACTGCATTACACAACCCATGCATGTTCACGAAGAAGTAAATTGTGATCGGAGTAGATATTAGCCTCAACATGTTGTTGTGGTAATTGGGGCCCGCAATGAGTGTCACCGAAGTGTTGGGAAATTTTGATTAAATTGTCGAATTGCAAGTTTTATGTATTTACATTTATAAATTATTAATAATAGATCTGTTTTTTTTTAGTTCAGCCAACAATTCAACAAGAATTGGTGCTTCCAATCGGTTCGATCTGCATCAAATTGTCATTGGACCTTGACGGGGGCGCCTTGCATACGTTCCACACAGGTTTTATGTACGCACAATAGTAGGCTACCCTCAGCGATAGATGCAGTGACATGCTAAATCTTGTGCGCAATCTTCGCGAGTTGCTGTGTAGTGTTAACGCAAGGAGCTGCAATTAAACGATCTTTGATCGGCCGACCAAAATTACTCAGATTGTCCACGGCGATCACAGGCCAACAGTTTTCGATCGGCTAGTGTTTTTAAACACGTTCCGAAACGGGAGACTTTTATGGGACCCGACCCACGAAGGACTGAGGCGATCTCAACAGATCTTCTCCGAAGATCATTGAACAAATTGTAATAGGAATCTGCATAAATAGTTGCTTTTAAACTGGTTACCCTCCAGTAGGCCCTACACAAATTTTTTCTATCAATTTCCAATAACAAAATAAATATCCTATGAATTTTTAACAAAAAAAAATAAATCCATGTTTTCACAATTTCCCCATAATAAACTATGGATAAGGGCAAAGCGACGAAAAATTGGACGGTCAGTAAATTCGCCTCTCTAGTCTTTATTATTACCTCTATGCCTCTAACTAGGAAGGGACATAACTCTAGACTGTTATGGTATGGTATCCGGAAATTAGTTAAACCGCACGATTTTATTGAGAACGGAAATTTGTGGATAAACTCCACTGTATAAAATATTATATTTGGGGGCAAAATAATTCAACATAGTTGCTTACAGCAGATTAGTTAGTGGTGCTGTTGCCCCAAAATATGCGTTAGAATGCACCAAAATCAAATCATTTTTGTGAAAATTTTCTTGTAAGAACCCACTCAGACGCTCCATGAAAAGCTTGCGTTTATGAAGCCTCCACAGAATTACAACATTTTAAATTCAGCCTCAATACTTTTCCACCCCCAATTTGTCGGTCTGTCCTTGATCTGTATTTCCAGATAAGGCTTCCACCGCCACTGGATTCAGTAATGAGATTCTCATATTGACTGTTCATACTTGATCACTGTCAGGTACTATTTCAAAAGCAAAGTGACATGGGGAAGCAGTCTAATGACCTGTATACTTCTGCTGATTTATTTCTAACTAATTGAAATATTGTCAACATTTGTTAGAAGAATATGTTTGACCTGGTTCAATGTTGTTGTTAAAGACGTCCTGATGATCAAACATTTGTCCATCAACAGGTTCATACAAATGTATTTTATGTTTTTAACAAATGTTTGATCGTGTAGACAAGGCAAAGTGATTTCCAGAGTGGAACACACTGCTTCAGTGCTCTTTGGCTCACAGCTCTAGTTTTATTTATTTTATGCTCTTTCAGAGATTTAGACAGTAGTACCACCCAGAAACCAAATATCAGTTCCATGAAAACCAGATTAAGGGTAAGAAATGATTTTCTAAATTTTTTAGAGAAAAGACTTTGTATAGTAATGATTAAACAATGATCTAGGACATAGCCTGGAGTCAAGACTTTAGTTTGTTTACTTAAATAATTATGCAAGGAAATAGGGCTGTCTTATGTTTAATGAAGATGTGTTGACATATTTGAACAAACTACCGCCTGTATTTGTATACGCCCCATGAGATCCTTCAATAAAATAGAAGAGACACAAACCATTTCACAAAGTTTTTAACTGGTCCATTTTTAGTTGATCAAAATAATGTGGATACTCTATAACACAAAACACATGGGTAAACATTCAAAAAAATGATGAAACTTGGTGTGATCATTGGAATTGATAAGATCTCAGACCAGTTCTAACTTGAGATATTTTTGATGAACGTTTTTTGAGTTATTGCCCTTGACTTTGTAAACACGCGTCAAAAGTTGTTTTTTGCCTTTGATTAGAGCAGTGTGATTTAATTGTTTGTTGTATTTGGGTTATTGATATTGATTTTAAAAAATTTTGTAGAATTATTCAGCATAAATAACTGGCATATATATATGTAATTGAATTCAAACTAATAAAATTTCTTCAATATGAGAAAATTCGTACTTTAGTCACTAAAGACTGTTTTATCATTTCTGACATCTGCCAGTGGGCGTATGTTACCTTGCCTCGCAAGCTATCTTTTAAAGCAATAATAACACCAATTTTGAAGATGTAAATATTACGACAACCACAACTGGCACATGAAAAGTGAAAGTAGAGTAAAAAAAATTGTCAATATCGATACATGCAGATCGGTATCAATATATTGCTTCCAGGTGTCCTGTATCGCAATACATTGATATATCGATTATTTCCGACTGCCCGCGGGGTTCACGAAATTAGCCATAACTGGGTCGTTGGCAGAGGTAAAATATAATATAAGAGATAAAGATTGGCTGTGCGACCAGTTATCCCTGATTATCAGGGCGGTGAGGGCACTGAACAGTAAAAGGAGAGTGGTGTCCAAGTTTAGATTTGTCATTGATAAGTTATGACTAATTTCGTGACCCCTGCGGGCAGTCGTGATCCCCTTTTAAAACTCTGAATTTATAACCGCTGTGGTGGAAGAAAATCCATTGGCTAAAAGACAAAGAGTCTACTTTCCCACCAACCAAGTCGGCCAAAGCTAATGCTAAAGAGGTGAACCTATCTATCCAAAGAGGGACACACTAGTCGCCTCTCACTTCCATTTACCGAGACACTCCAGTCGAAATCTTGACTACTTAATAATCAACCGACTCAGCACCAACACAGATCTAACACAGTCTACAGCCAATAGGCCCTCCAATTAACTCCATTGGATTATCAGATTGCAATTAGATTGGGATGAGTTCCATCATGCAACTACACTTGATTGACAGATAAATGTATCAACTTTAAGGGAGGTAATTAAAAGTACAAAAATATCTCAGTCAAACACACTTAAGGTTACTAGGTGAAAACTTTCAGTTTTCTGAATTTAAAGATTATTGAAAATGATTTTAATTATTCAAATTGTGGTGTTTTTCTATAACTAAAAGAAATTCATATTCATAAAGAATGTGAGAATTCGGATTGATATGTTAGCAATACACATTTAAATCTGGATTTATAGCTAGTTCATTGGGATTACTTCCATTGAATGTGACGTCAGCTGGGAACAGAATGGTACAAGACATGGTTTAGAAACACATTCAGCCTTATCGTATCAAGAAATTTAAAAAAAAAAATTGCGATTATTCAGAAAATTTTTATTTCACCTAGATTCATCATTGTTAGGAAAAGGGATGACAAATCGTTTTTAAAAGCCTTTTATTTCTGAGAGAAAATCAAATACAAGACCAGATTAAAATTAGTTGAAAATACTGATAAAAAGGTTATTCAATTCTGGCTGAAATTTATTTTTCATCTCGGGGGAAATACAAATATATTTGAGATTTACCCAAAAGTTTGGTGCTCATTTTACAAAATTGATCAAGCAAATTCTCCTCGAAATTTGTTTGGAAACGGAAAATGTTGTGCCGTTCACAGCTAGAAAATTACTCTTGGCGGTAAAGTTGACATTAAATTGCAGATGAAGATCAAAAATCATTTACAAATATTGTTGAAAAGCTTATTCAATTCCACTTTTAATGGCCTATACTTTGTACTTTGTATGAGGATCTGTTAAATTCAAACTTTGAGTTGATATTAGGCGCAAGTCATTTTTTCTGCTGAAATACAAGTTTTTTTGCCTTGTCCTGGAACCACCGGAAAAAGTCAATAAATGTTTGTGTCCATACAGAAAACTATATTTTGAGTGATGATAATCCTGATGTTACACCTAAATTGACATTTATTACAGCTCAGCCCCATCATAGAGGTGTGGGCTAAGCCCCAGAAAATGAAAATTGAGTCCCAGCACAAAATCACTCGAAAAAGAAATATTTATAGCACGACTATATCTATTTCATTAGAAAATGTTTTGTTTGAAGTATTTTTAAAGGAATGTTGCAATTTTCTTAAATTTTTAGTACTTCCGAATACCATTTACGTATATTTAACACTCAAATCTATCCCCTGAAATGGCGCACCTTTCCCTTTAATGTCTTGCTTACTTTCCTTTTGGCTTTACAGTTTATTTTCAGGTACAGTCAGGAGTACCCCAAAAATTGTGAGGAGAGATTGAAATACCATTTTTTATTCTCAGGACTGAAAAATACCTTTATTGTTCCTGAAATAACTCTATTATTATATTGATTGTATTAAGATTATATATGTTTAATATATATTTCATGTTGATATATTTTAGGATGTTACTCATAAATTAGATATGAGTTATGGTTTATTAGGAAGTTTATTTAGAAGCGGTGAGTTTTTATAATTATCTGAAAAAAATGTTTGTACAAGGGTTGGCTGAAAAGTTCCAAGCCTATATTTAAAGGACTCATACCAGCTTGATGGGTTTCATATATTTCTCTACATAGTCCACTTGAAGGTTTGTACTCTTTGCCTGTGGTGCTGTTAGGTCTGTGTTTAGGTCAAGAAAATTTTTTCTACATCCACCCTAGAAATAGTCATTCAGAGCAGAAATGATGTTAACATTACTAGAATTCCTTTTAGATTTTTGGAAACAGGTTGAAGTCTGAGTGTCAAAATCGGGCTTGACAAATTCCTGATTGGCTTTCAAGAGTTTTGGCATTCATCTTGCAGATGGGTAGGTTAGTCTGATTCATAGACAATAAGCAACATTTGCAGCCTATGATTCATTAAATGAGCGTAACTCTTGATAGTCTGAGTTTCTTTCATTGAGGTACGTGCAGCATTGTGTCCAGTCTAATTAAAATTAGACCTAACTATTAGACTAGCGGCCATTATTCCGTCGATGAAAAGGGCAGCCACGTGATTGGTTAAACCAGAGGTCAAGCAAAGGTTAACAGAATGAAAAGTCAAGAAGGACAGAGTTAGACCTTACTGTAGTGGTTACCTACAAAGTTAATAGCTAATAAAACATTAGAAACAAAACTAACAAAATACGAACGGACTGCATTGAGTCAGTAGGCCAGGCAATATGGTTTAGTAAAAATAATATAACTAATAGTAATAGTACTCATAGTGCATTTGTAAGTCTAAAATGGAAAAATCACTAACATGATGTCTTTACTATTAGGATCATTAAAATTCACAGCGAAAATGAATTTGCTTTTAAAATTTTTTTTTAATAATTTTAATCGGCATGCGTTTTCAAGAAACAGCAGTTTGCAGATGATTTTTTGTGAAGATTACAATGTTAGAGAAATTTCAGTGCAAGACAAAAAATTATTTCACTTAAAATCTAAAACTTGATCCATTTTGCTAAATTTGTCTCTTCTTTTCCAATTTTTGTGAAAATTAAAAAATGTAGTCATGTGTGCGATGTGTGTGTGTCACGTGATTACATGACGCTTGATGAACACGATCAAAGTTACTATTACATGTCAATGACGATATATGTCCAGATATTCCAATCGTTTCCCTGTGAACTTACAGTACAAAGTAAACAACAATATATAGTTTGGTTTCTTTTGTGAAATGTGACTAGTTTTGCTCTGTTGTAAGGGTCTATTTTGGGGATAGGTACCAGTCAAATTTGACATTTTCAGGGATGGTTATGAAAACTTTGATTGTTTTCTCTCCCTAACAAAATGCCAAATCATAAAGAATCAACATGTCATGGGAACACTCCAGGTTTTGAAAATATTAAAAAAGAACTGTCTCTTTAGTAAGAAATTGTAATACATCATTTTTTTTTCTTGATTTTTACACACCTTCCTTTGCTTAGACTACAGTAGTTGTAGCAACCTTTCAACTTTCCTACACCTAGTGGCAACATGTTCCTTAACCCCTAAACTGCCACCGTCGCAATATTGTTACATTCTACCCATGCGACCGCCACTTTAAATAAACACAAAACTACCGCTACGAAAACGGTGTTGATATATGTATAATTAGATTTAGATATCGGTGGTAATTTTAAGACAAAAAATCATGCACGTTTCTTCTATAAAAAATCCCTAATAATTTGATTGAAAATAGGTAATATTTGTGAAAAGATGTCGCGAAATTTGAGTTTTCATAGCGTCATAACCATAGACATCTTATATAGATAGATATGAAATTTACGGCTCTAATGATGTCTATTCAACCACATCAGGTGACCTAAATAGCAATCGTCAATGTAAACAATTTCGCTGCCATGTATTTCGATCAACTTTCGATTGAATATGGTTGTATTTTGATGTAAAACGGCCATAGAATGGCCGGGAAATTGATTGTTGAAGCTGTTATAGCCCATATCTACACTGATAGTGACTCTGAAGGCGAATAATGATAAAAGTCAAATTTTTTTGTTGATAATAAAATTTTTTATCCCTCCATTATCTTCTTTATTGAACAAAATAGTACAATTGTTGCCATGATATGATCTCATGTTTTTCAAAAATAAACAGTGCCATGGTAATATACAAATATTCATAAACTTGTTACATGATGAAAATTGTTATCTACTAATTTTAGGTTTTGAACCTATTGTTGCCAATGTGACATCACAATGACGTCACTAGATGATGTTGATTATTGACACTTGGTGCCTACATCCCAGTTTTGAAGCCACATGCTTTTGAAAAAAGGTACCACAAAATGTCAATTTTCTAAAAAAAAATATTCGGCAGTTAAAGGGTTAAATATATATTGGAATAGTTTTGCTAAACCGAAAGTGCCACAGTTTAACATGTGCACAAAGTAGAAAATCGGCTCTAGAAGTCATTTTTGGGTCGTTTTTCTTCGAATTTTCATTTTTAGAATATAGCATCTGATATGATAGCAGTTCAAAAATTTCATAAATATATCTTATGATCTATTCGATGTAGAAGGTCGAAATTTGATTTTGAGATTTGGAATATAAATCACCCTATGACCATAAAGTTGTGGTGGGCGTGGCACATCCTGGTTAAATTACTTATTACTTAAAATTTTTGGAAGGGACATAACTTGCAAAGAAAACTACCGTTCAAAAAGAAACTTTGCACACATTTACCTCATCCATTTGGTTAGTTTTCCTGAAAAGCTTGTTTGCTTCATAGTTCAAAAAAAGGAACAAGTTTTAGAATTTCAAAATTTTCGATTTTGATCTTTGATGACCTGTATCTTTTGACCTGTGTGATGCAGAAGCTATGCATAACATTTTGAGTATCAATTGACCTGTGCCAAAAATATGAGGTCAAATTACTCATTATTAATATTTTTGGGCATAGATTATATTTGTACGAACTTTGCATACAATTGTCTGCTTCTGGTTTAACAATCTTCCAAAGAATGAAAATTTCTCAACTTTAGACTGTTCTTGTACGTGACCAAATTATCGAAGGAGGTGGATTTTTTCAGAGTCTTTTGCAATTTGCTCAATTTGGAAAGTCTCACTCTGTGCCATGTGTGGCTCTTGTATTCTATTTGATCTTATACTGATTTTTTTTTGGAAATCATCCTATGTCCAGGAAAGCAGAACTAGATAAGTGAACAGAAGTCTGTAAATTAGTCGCTACTGAGGTGTTCTTCTTCACTGCAAAGCCACCAAGTGTATTAATTTCTTCCAGTACCTCATTGAGATATCAAAGTTTTCAACCAACCCTCATACTAATAATATAATCATCATGGAATTGGGCAACCCTCGATGTTAAAATTTGTTATCGAAAAGGGAATTTTAATTTGCCAATCTTGTTTTGTCCTCGTAAAATTGACCTGTTATGACATAAACGCGACATGAAAAAGGTTACTTAATTTGTGATCAATAAAAAAAAAATATGAGCTCTTGTTATTAGTTCTCTTACTGACCTTAACCCTCAGTCAAACTAGCCTCATTCTATAAGTTAATATGACAGGTTTAAATTAAGGAAGTTGAATGTAATTGAAAATATTGTGAATCATTTCGATAATGTTTCTGAATTCTTATTTTAGGCCCTTTAGGGGTTTTACCCCTATACAATAAAATGAAATACTGCTGATTTATATTTCAGGGTCTCGTCAGACATTTTTTGCCGCCCAAGTAATGAGATATGCTGATTTATATGCAGCCACATTCCTGAATCTGTTGCACTATCCTTTCTGCTACTTATTTAGGGCACCACCAATGCTGGTAATATTGTTTTTTTGTTCTTTATTAAATTATGTCTGTATATCTGTGTATAGCAGTAATGTCTTTCTGAATCCTAAAAGTATGTTGTGATTTAAATTTTGGAATGATACGACAAATATTTCCTGAGTTTTATTAAAAGCCCTTGATATATAAAAAATGTTCAAAGTTACTTGTAATTGTGGCCACTGTTTTTGAATTTACAAAATCCGGTGTGTTGTTTGTGTCACATGATCTCAGATCAGTTACAACCCTCAAGATACTGTAAATATGTTAAAAGTGGTATGTGAATATGTGCTAAAGAACACAGTTGTTATACGCCCACATTATAATGTGGTTGTATATTGTCGTCACCCCTGTCCGTTCGTCGGTCCACAATTGACTTGAGAACACAATAGAGACAACAGTTTTTATCTGATTTGAATGAAATTTGGTGTGATCATTTATATTAATAAGATCTTGGACAAGTTCAAATTTGACGATCTTTCGATGACTGGTTTTTGAGTTGTTGCCCTTTACTTATGAAAAATGCATTAAAATTTGAACACAATAGAAACTACAATTTTCATCCAATTTAAATGAAATTTGGTGTGAATATTTATAATGATGAGATCTTGGACGAGTTCGAACTTGGCTATCTTTTGATGAATGGTTTTTCAGTTATTGCCCTTGACTTATAAAAAATGCGACAAAATTTGTTTGTGAACACATTAAAGACTACAATTTTCTTCCAGTTTAAATGAAATTTGGTGTGAATATTTATAATGATGAGATCTTGGACAACTTGGAATTTGGCTATCTTTCGATGAAAAGTTTTTGAGTTATTGCCCTTGACCTATAAAAAACGCGTCAATAGAGATCACAATTTTCATCTGATTTAAATGAAATTTGGTATGATCATTTCTAATGATGAGATTGAATTTAACATTTTTTTATGATGGAATTCACTTCCTTTACTTACTTTATTGAATGTACTTTTGAATTGCAGATGCCTCACGAATCAACTGTTGATCATGAAACTGTTTATAATGAAACTGATTTGGAATCACATTCACGTTGCCAATCAGATAATGAGGAAGAGGAGTATGAGTTAAGAACCAAGAGAATTCGTAGAGAAAGTTCTTCAGATATTAATCATGTTCCACACTTACGGGCTAATGTACCCAAAAATGTTACTCATGTTCATGATGAAGATGGTGATTCCAGTGACTCTGAACAATCAACCACCAGTGCTCCAAGTGAAAAATCTATTTAAAAAACCAACTTACCAGTAATTTTGAGGTGCTTTTTATACGGCCACATGGAATGTGGAGCATATATTGGCGTTATGCATTCATCTGTCTGTCTGTCCACAATCGCTTGTATGGACTTTAGAAGGCACAATTCTTGATGAATTTTAAAGAAACTTGTTGAAATTGTTCATTATCAACCATGGATAAACCCTTTTGAAGATCAAATTGAAAATATTTTATATGAGGTATTGCCCTTGTTCTAGAAAACACTAAAAGGCATAATTCTTGCTGGATTTCGACAAAACCTGGTAAATCTTCAAATCAGTGTTTGTTAAGCATACCATCTGTTAACCTCAAATTCACCAAATGAGCTTTTTCTTACTCTGTTCTTGTCTTATAGAACAATTTACCATCCGAATTACAATTTTCAAAATTTATCGACATCTTTACGAAAAACCGAAATACTTTCTTAAAATAGTTCTTGTATATTACTATTTCCTCCATTCACACAAATATGTTGATAGAGGGCGCAATAAAACCTGAAAAAAAATTTGCGCCATAAAAGTGAACTATTATTATTATTTTATTGTTCATTGTCGGCACAATGAAAGTTCTTAAGAAGTGTATAACTGAAGGTTGAGGTTGTTGCTACTGTAATTTGTTTGCGAACTCAATAAAGACTATACTTTTTATCCCATTTAAATGAAATTTGGTGTGAATATTTATAATGATGAGATTTTAGTTTAGTTTGAATTTGACATATTTCAATCAACAAAATTTGAGTTATTGCCCTTGACATCAAAATTTTGTTTGCTTGTGAGACAGAGATGACAGTTTATGTCAGAATTTTATTAAATAATGTGTGTTTGATTAAATTAACAATATTTTGCACAAATTAGATTTTTGATATGATTGATGACCGCCCTTGATATACTGAAAATGTATCAGGAAAGTGGGCATATCTTGCTAGGCAACCACTTGTTTTTAAATGAAAGTTTCTTGTTTTTCCATCTGCATACCATGCTTAAGTTGGCATATCTTACAGGAAAAGTGAGCTTTCTTTTGAAAAATAATGTTTTAATTTTCTACCCCATAGAATCGATCAAAATGACTATTTTGGCCAAAATCTCTTGTTCCTGAAAGCAGCTGTTTAATATAGCATACACATAAATATGAAAAATCTATGATGTCACATCATATATCGTTATTGTTTGCAAGTTAACCGGCTTCATGGTCGATCAGAATAAAACCCTTCAGAATGCATTTATTTAATCAAATTCGCAAATCTTACTTTTCCTTTAAGTATTAGTCTGATTGTATTTCATCATTATGTTCTTCATCAACAGAATAATTTTCATTTAAGAACAAATTATGAAATCTATTGGTTATGGGAATATTCCAATTTTTTGGAAAGTTGTAATTTTGTTCTTTTTTTTTAAGATAAAAATTGCTTTTAATTTATGTGGAAAAGATTTAAAATTTAACATTTTAACAAAGCTATAAATTTTCGTTCATATGCATACTTTCTTTTTTTGATAAATGATAGGTCTTGGAGTTAAAAGCTGTGATTTGATTGAAAAGATAATAATTTGTTAATTTAATTCATAAATCTTATTTTGTTAATCTAAATTCATGTCAGTTTGCATGCCCATTAAGAAAATTATCATTATAAAATTTCTTCCTCAGCAATAAGAAGGCAATTGCATTTTATCATTATCATTATCACAAGTATCAAATTGATAGATTAATGCTCATTTCATTTTTGACAAGGTATGGAAACCTAGATTTGAAAAATGTGTCAGATTTTTTCAAAATGGCCATCAAAATATGTGTAATAAGTAACCATTTTGGGCTCATAAAAGTTGGTACAGCAAGTTTTGTATGTATGACTTGGGTGAACAATTCATTACTGTGTTTATTTACCATTTATCCCCACTTATACACCTAAGTTTGTCCTATATAAGCCACTTTACATTAATGAGTAAGACAATAAATGTCTATAACTTGATCTTATGTATTGGGTTTTAAATACAAAATACTGAATGCAGTTAAGACATAATATTCATACTACTGAGTTGCATAAGTCATATTTTCTGTGGACATTATCCATTGTTAGTCCCAAATGAAACATTTGCACTTCCGTCTTTTAACTCAATTCTAAAGAATTCACCTCACATTTAAACAAAAAAGCATGATACATGAAAATATATATATTTACATCTTTGTTTGGTTTATGGCAATAGCATTATTTTTCTTGTTTGATTCTCACTCACAACCCTTCATGTAGACTAACAGTTGTTTCCATAACATAAGAAAATGGCATTAGGTTTTCATCATATTTATTGATTGTAATGTTTTAAGTTGTAGGATTAATAAAATATAATATCTTGGTAGTTACTTTTTATACGCCCACATCAATATGTGGTCGTATATTGTCGTCGCCCCTGTCCGTCGGTCCTGTCCGTCCCGTCCGTCCGTCAACATTTCCTGTGGGCACAATAGAGACAACAGTTTTCATTTTTCATTTCATCAAGATCGAATTTTCGATTAACGCTTTTTGAGTTATTGCACTTGACAATTAGGGTTTTCCATGCCAATAGAGCTTGCAAAGTGCCTGTAAAATACGGTGTGTTAACATCAATTTCAGCGAATCGAACCATCTGCCAAAATTCTGTATTTCTCTTGTGTATACTTATGTATATCTAAAACAAGAGAATCTTTCACAACAGCACTCAACATCCAGTGTCTCGTAATACACTTATCTTAACATCATTTATGTATCCATCTATAGGCATTGAACTGTTATAAGCCGAAGCTCTCTTACAAGATGCACTTAAATATGAAATTTTCGTCTATACCATCATCAGGAAAACAAGCATTAACTGAATTATTAAATTTCGGGGAAGGGAGGGGTTGATTCTGCCAAATGGACAGGCCTAAGGTGGAACAGATACTTTATTTAGAAATTGGGATTAAGGGTCATGATACTGGGTTTTCTTCTGTTCTGATTCTGATCTGAAATTAGAAAAAATAACTCACCCAATGGGCGAGAAGTATAGTATCTGTTATTATGTACTGATTGTTTTTAGTTTATTAAAATAGTTCTGAAATTATTCTTAGTTTCTCCTACATATTGTTTGGGGCATTTCTTACATGAAATTAAATATATTACATTCGAATGTTCACATGTTAGATGTTCCTGGAACGGGTACCTTTTATTCGTAGAGTTACTAAAATAATGAGTTTCTGATATAAAGGGGCATGTTTTACATCTACTGGACAAACATGGAGCGCTCCTTACATCTGGAGGTACTGTGGCATAAAGCCTGTTTTAGCTGCTATCTGTGTTAAAGTGCAATTTTTATGTTTCGTAAGAATCGTTTAGAGTACCCACGCTCTAAGGTATGTTTTGGGTGAAAGGAGCTCTTGTGCAAGAGTTGATAAGGATCAGTTTCTTTGAAATACACTTTAATATCCAGTTTATTTGTTTCTGCTATGGAATCTCCCTTAAAGACAGTGGTGTCGAGAAAGTCTATGCCTTTGTCACTCATGTTTGCGGTTAGTTTGATAGAAGGATAGTGGTTGTTGAGAATTTCAAAGAATTCCCAAAACTGTTCGATAGAATAATTTCAAACCATTAAAATGTCATCCAAAAGGGGTCCGTAAAAAAGTGGGTCAAATGGACATAGTGGCAACACCTCACGTTCCCACTCTGCCATGAAAAGGTTTGCGTACGAAGGGGCGAATCGTTTGCCCACAGCTGTCCATGAAGTTTGTAAATATGTTTTAAATGTGAAATCGTTTCGACTGAGACAAATCTCTAAAAACTGTAGAATTGCATCGTCGGGTCTGTTTGGATCTAGGTTTCTATTAAAAGCTTTACGAAATGCCGTTAAACCAGTAGTGTTATCGATATTCGTATACCTAGAAGAAACGTCGATAGACATTAGAAGGAAGATTATCAACTGGTTCGAACTCTTCTTCGTAGGATGGTAAGATTGTTGCGCTGTTGGTATTGGACTCCATCATCATGTTGGTGAGGGTGCTAGGGTTCTGTTGTGCTTGAGATGGGTATACATGTGAAGATGATCTTGGAGTTTGGGAAGGTTTTCTTGGCTGTAGGGAGTCATTTTTGGGCTTGGTTAAAAGAGGTCTTTGGTAGCTGATCACGGTTGTTGAGGCCTACATGCAGAATAACGGTAGTAGATTTGGGATCATGGTTGTATGGATGGACTGTATGTGATGGATTTGGGCAGTGGGGTAAGAATGTATTTCAGTGTCTGAACTGGTTTTGGTAATTCGATTCAGGTTAGATGATCCAATAATTAAGGTAGATTTCTTCAGAGCAGGTAGATTCCATAATGATTTGTCCTTGGTTTGGTGATAATAGGGTTTGGTAGCGGATATAATGGTTGTCGACGGGGTGATTGGTACTGAAACGCACAGAAGGAAGAAAGGTTGGCGGATCCTGAAGATTCACATGGCGTGGAAAGGGAAGACGAGTCTGAAAGTGAAAAGAGAAGGGGATGCCCTCTCTGCGAGAACGTTTACCTATGTCTGCTGGACTAGGAGTAGATGTTCTCGTTTAGGGGTTTGGTTCGATAGGGTGGTGACTCTAACTGGTGCAGGTGTAGTGTCCATTCTAGTTAATAGAGATATGGTTACTCTGGCTTTGGTTTCGTTGATTGTCTGGTAAAATTTGGTGATTACAGCTTGATTGAGACGTTTTCCATAGGAGCGACGGGCCCAGGACAGGGCATGAGAAACGATGCGGTCGACAGCAGGTAATGATAAAGACTTGGTACGAATGGTGGTCAGCTTCTCTTGAAGTGTGGTTTGGTAATGGTCGATCAGGACCTGCGTAACCTTAGAAAGCCATGTCCGATTGAAGGATCTAATATTCGCATCGACAGCTGATGTTTTCATTGCTGGATGCTTTGGTTTATTAACACTATTTCCTCCGAAATTGTATGTTTGTTTTACATCACGAGGTTTCTGCTGGTTACTATTATAAACAACTTTATTACCATTTCGTTCTGAATCTACAGATACAGATGCAGCATTTGACCTAATCTTGATAAAATACAATTCTTAATTTCATGTTTGGTTTTCCTACAAATAAAACATCTTTTTGGATAGACATTACTAACATCTTTACTACATTCATTTCCTTGCCCTTTTCAGTATACCTGCCGTGTGCTATCATGAATCGATCTGCTATTTCTGCCATTTCTTTTACAGAAGAAGGACACTGTTCTTACTTTGCCAGAATCATCTATCTTCCAAGGCGAACAAAGAATGGTCCTGCGAACTCATCCTGTTTCGGTCTTACCATCTAAATTTCTGACGAAATCCATCGGCAGTTAATTCATACCGTTTAAGAAAAGCATTTTTTAGGACTTCATAATTCGTTCACTTTCTGGCGAACCGATGAATATGTGTTTGACGTCAAAACGAGAAAAGTGTGTTTAAAGTTCTGGGTCTTTTTTAAACATCCATTGTTTGTAAGTTATTGGTGGTATGTTCAAAAAATAATTGGCGCAAACAGAGTTGAACTATTATGTTACATGTTCATCAACTCGTATTCGTTTGGAATAGGGAGAGAAAAACAATAGGCCTACACATATTAATTCAACAGGGGTAATATTCGACAGTGTTCCCGAAAATTTAATTGGCTGTTTCCTGATAATTTTTTTTCGCAAACTGTCGAATATGTATATTCGACGCTTTGCAGAAAAACATTTTTCTTTCATACTACAGTAAAAACGTCGAATATACATAATTTTTACAGTAATTAAGTTATGGAATATGATTATATTTGTGTAATCTGGAAACTTTTGTTACTGAGTTACGTCCCGTAATTAATTATTTGAATATCAGAGTTACGTCCCGTTCTAGGCTTTTTTAATTGTCTTTGCAGAACCAAACCCATTATGGAATTATGATTTTTTGCCGATGGCTTAGTATTAAATTCCTTTGTTAAATTCAAATATGACTTCAATATATCTCTATATTGTTATAGTAATGTATCATTAAAAATATGAATAAACTTGACTTTTTAGCAATGTGTATGCTAAACTTACCATTTTAAACAGGCAAGGTCCGCAAAAATGCATATAAGGAAAAACGATACAACTATACGATTTAATTATATATAGGCACAATTTCTTTATTATGTTACACACAGTTTTTAAAAACAATTTTAAGTTATAAATTAAGAATACAAGTCTTAAATACAAAAATACATTAAAGAAAAATTAAATAACAATTATTTTATTCATAGTGAATTTCAATGGTTTTAAACATACTATAATAAATATTGGACATAAATAACCATATATCGTAGTCTAGCTATGTAACTACCCCAAACATCAGAAATACTTACTTCAAACCACACGAAACATACTCTTTCGTTAGCAATTGACCACAATTTAGGAATAAGCAAATGACTTAAAGAATGCAATTTGTTGTGGGTGTGGTCCAGAACACAAGCTCACGAGATCGTTGTATTTGGATTCCGGTATAGAACGTGGTTTGCTGTAGGCTTTATTGATAGAAAGACCAGAATCTCCCCTGCGATTATCCATAAGTAATAATTCATGAAACTGACTTTCTGTGTGAAATAATTTGAAAAAAATTGACTTTGATTTGCTTTTTATAAGTTTTAACTGTCTAATATCTGGTCATCTAATATCTACACCATCCACAGATTGACGCGCTCTCAGAATTCCTAAGGATTGTCCAAGTGCCTTAAAATCCATATGTTCGGCTTGAAATTCAAAAGCATCATATGGTATTCTAATCAGTACTGATAGTTGTGAATGGATAGTTATATCGCCCACCCTCCTTAAAGCACGCTCTATAACACTATGCACAGAATCACTCTCATGGTTTGTTTCAAAATAATATACAATTACTTCAGTCAGATTTTTTGACTTGGAGAGAATATGATGAAGCATAGCACAGATAATAGAATTTTTGTTTTGCCCTCCACATCCGTCACAGAAAAAATGGGCACGTTTAAACCCTTCCCGGTCACACCTCTTAAGAAAATCTGAAAGGTTAGAGCTTATTTCATTGGCCCCACGTTTGCCAATCCCCTCGTTCTAAAGGTATAAACAGTAACAATTCCCCCCTGTCGCTTCTTAGTAAAAATATAACTTGCTGCAGGTCAAAACAACCTACAAAATCACCCATTTCAGATTCATCTTTCATGTGCTGTTTGATTCCTCTCACTTCTTCTTTTTCTCTCGTATGAACTTCATAATCGGTACATTTAATCTGATTCTGGCTTTATGGTAATCTTCCACGGACTCGGACATCTCTAGCAGCTTGGCGAGCCAAACGACCTCCTCTTTTTCCTGTTCCACAGCTCCAGTAGAAGATGTCTTAATGAGCACAGTCGAAACTTGTCTATCCGTAACGTTGATTGTGTTTAAAAATAGAAAACGACAAACACGGACTGTGCCTCCGTTGTCATCTAGAAGAAGAAAAAAGGCTACTGTTCGTGTTTTTCTACTGTTTTCTTTAGATGTGGATGTCTTTCTTGATTTGATATGTCTTAATATCCACAAACGTTGATCACACAACGACACAAGCCCATAGAATGTCGACAAAATACTTGCGCGTCTATCATCTGTTACCATTTCACAACCAAGACCATTACGTGTGCAATATGTGCTATTGCATCTTGGTTTTGAAATATTTCTGGCCTCCTTGTGAGCCCCTTGCTGGGGTGGATTACCCTATTCGTGCATTTCTTTAATTCGGGTTCCGAATTTCACTTACAGTTTCGCAATCCTTCAAATTTGCCGCCATTTCCTGAAAATTCAGACGCTGCTGAGTTCTTCTTTCTTCTGCCATATGTTGCCGTTTAGCATCGTCCGAAATTTTTCTCTCAGCATCTCTCTCCTTCCGTTTCAACCAATCTCGTGAAACGGTGTTCGAACATCTTGCAATATACTGGCCTTGGCAGTTGTCCTCATAAAACGCTTGGTCCTCCGAGGTCATCTACACACTGTAAAACTCCTCCATTTCGTGCTGGTACTTCACATCTCAGAGTCATCCTGTAGTTGAATTCTCTAACCGCCTTTTACTTTGGTCGAACATTTTTCATGTTTGCGTAGCTGCCTAAATACTTCATACTCGTCTTTCAGTTTTCTGGCCACATTGGACTTTCCAAATGCTATTAATGTGATTAGAGTAAAACCTTAAGTTAAAGTTTGATGCGTGATGCTTTTTCTTGTTGGCTAAATGTGAAAAAACACATGTCTGTGGGTTTTCAACGTAGTTGTGATGTCACATGACATGTTGTGACGTCATAATGGCGTTATTTCATGACTTCTTATGTAATACACATTATTTTCATTCCGTACTAGTTAGAGTAACATGATAACATGAATTTGTGGTCTTGTGCATGATAAAGGAGCAGGTAACAGAATACGCACCATCTCTTCAAATTTAGAGACTAATCCTTTAATGCAAGGGACTATAATGAAGATTAGAGTACAGTTTGTTGGTATGTGGACAGACAAAGAAAGAGTCATTTTGCAACAATCTTAGTATTTATGGAAAATCATTAAAATAAAATTGAATATAAATATGATAAAATCCAAAGCACGTAAAAACATCCAAACCAAATATGAATATTACAGCATACAATCACCATTCACTACAGTAGCACATACTATGCTAAAAGTAAAATATGACAACACCCATATGAAACAATAAAAAACGTATTCCAACATCCAACACCTATTGTAAAAAGAAATATTAAACAATTAATAAGAATTAAATAGCTATCCAGACACATTCAAATTATAAAAAAGGTGTGCTGTTTACACATATAGAAACAAATTTTATTTTAACAATTGCAACAGAAGTGACTCAACATCGCAAGAACCTCGAAACTCTGGTGATACAGTACATTTTATTATCTGACGCAATTCTTTCTCGGAAAACGTTTCATACGTAAAATTGCCCGTGTCACATTTCACTCGTTTTTTCTGTCTAATATCAGGTGCTACTATATTCCTCAAATAAAAAATTTCTTTCAATAACTCTCTCTGATCCAATCTTTCCAGAAGTGGTATAGTTGAAGATGTTACTGGCCCACCGTGTCTTTTGCAAGTTTCAAGAACCTGTAGTATTTTGATATTCTTTTTTAATTTCAATTCTTCTTTCTTCTTTAATGCCATATCCTTGCTTGCTCTTACAGTAGATAGAAACTCCTCCTCCAGCTGTTTTACCTTCTGGGCAGTTTCTGATCCCCATTTCCATCTGATTTTCTTGTCTTTATCCACTAGATCAACAAATTGAGGATTACACAAAAGACCATTAGAAGAAACAATATTCATTGTAAAATGAAATTTAATTTTAATGATTTTCCATAAATACTAAAGATTGTTGCAAAATGACTCTTTCTTTGTCTGTCCACATACCAGCATACTGTACTCTAATCTTCATTATAGTCCCTTGCATTAAAGGATTAGTCTCTAAATTTGAAGAGATGGTGCGTATTCTGTTACCTGCTCCTTTATCATGCACAAGACCACAAATTCATGTTATCATGTTACTCTAACTAGTACGGAATGAAAATAATGTGTATTACATAAGAAGTCATGAAATAATGCCATTATGACGTCACAACATGTCATGTGACATCACAACTACGTTGAAACCCACAGACATGTGTTTGTGGGATCCTCAGAGTCGACCGCAGGCATCAA